TTTATATGTAAATAAACACACACGGAGCACTGCAACATGGCTCCCTCTCTCTCTAGCACCAGACAGCAGAGAGAGAAAACAAAGGACATTAGTCCCACTTCACGGAACACAGTAACACAAACATTCTGTCTCTGTCACTCCTCACACTCTGGAGTCAAAACATACACCGTCATGTGATAGACAAAAACCCCATGACTGCAATCACGGCGCAGGAATTCTAACACCTGCTGCCGTGGCACATGTGAATCAGAGCACCCATATGCCTACGTGGAGCATCTGTGGTCTCTAAACCACTGAGCCTCCTGGGCTTGCTGATCAGAAGGTTGGCGGTTTGAATCCCCGCAACGGAGTGAGCTCCTGTTCCTCTGTCCCAGCTTCTGCCAACCTAGCAGTTTGAAAGCATGCCAATGCAATTAGATAAATAGGTACAGCTGCAGCGGGAAGGTAAATGGTGTTTCTGTGCGCTCGTTTCCCTCATGGTGTCCCGTTGTACCAGAAGCGGTTTAGCCCAGCTGGCCCCATGACCCGGAAAGTTGTCTGTGGACAAACATTGGCTTCCTCAGCCTGAAAGTGAGATGAACGCCGCAACCCCATAGTTGCCTTTGACTGGATCTCCACATAAAGCGGGGGGAGCCCGGGCGGACGGTCTATGGAACCAGTAAACCCATAGCCTGGTTGTACAGGAGTGTGGCCACTTCACACACTGGCTAAACACGCAGCTGGCAGAGACATGAGCTGGCAGAGTTGTGAGAGTCGTGGCAGCTTCACACAACACCGCTTCCTCTTTTGGTGGGTGAGGAAGGCAGCCTGCCAAAGCTGGAATGGGGGCGATTGAGACCTAGTAGTCCATAAACATCCAGCAATGGCTCCAGTTAAGCCCTGCCAGGGCTGGCCCACCCCTGAGGCAAGGAGGTCAGGACTCAGGTGGCAAGATCCACAGGGGCAGCAGCAGCAGATCCAACTGTCAATCTTCCACCCTTGTTCCTGATATGTGGGTCGTCCCTCACGCCTTCTCCCCTGCTGGGCAACCCACTTTGGGGTCCGCCTTGGGTGCTAAAGCCTCTTAGCCCAGACTTGAGCTCTTCACATGTGAATGGCCACCCTGGATACCACAAAACGTTCCTGTTGCCTCAGAGATGGCCAGGATCAAGTGCTTGGGCCGGTTCCATGGGCGAATCCAGTGTTTTTATTGGGGGGGGCGGCAAAAATTGTTGAGCTTTTTTTGGGGAGATTGGGGGGGCAGGCCTCTGCTGGGGGGGCAGAGAACCTCAGTTAATGGAGTATTTTTCATGCTTTTCGATACTTTTTGACAGCCCGCCGCCTTGAGCATTGTTTTAACTGTGGAAAGGCGGCATACAAATAAAACGATGATGATGATGATGATGATGATGATGATGAAGAAGAAGAAGAAAGGAGAATCTGAGCGGTAAGGGCAGAGGTCAGCAAACTTTTTCAGCAGGGGGCCAGTCCACTGTCCCTCAGACCTTGTGGGGGGCCGGACTATATTGGGGGGGGGTGAACGAATTCCTATGCCCCACTGATGATAATAATAACAATTATTATTTATTATTTATACCCTGCCCATCTGGCTGCGTTTCCCCAGCCACTCTGGGGAAATAACCCAGAGACGCATTTTAAATAAATGTACACATTCTACTCATTTAAAAACATGCTGAAGGTGAAAGACTTCTGGGAAAAGATATATAACGAATTGGAAAAAAATGTTGAAATATACATTTATATAAACCAGAGGCCTTTCTTCTTGGAATAACAGGTTTGGAATTGCCCAAGAAAGATGTTAAATTATTTTTGTATGCCACAACTGCAGCTCGTATTTTGTTAGCTAAAAAGTGGAAAACCCAATAATTACCAACGATAGAAGAATGGCAGATGAAGATGATGGATTTTTTGGAGCTAGCCGATCTAACCGGAAGAGTCCGCGACCAGGAGGAGGAGGAGTATCAGGAAGATTGGATCAAATTTAATGATTACTTAGTTAAATATGTTAAGTTAAATTAACTGAAAACAGCTTGCAGATACTTAATTGGCTTAGGATTTTATTTAAGTGATGGATTAATATGTTTAATTTCATAATGTGAAGATCTAAGGATGTTAATGTTTAAGTTAAATTTTTTTTAAAGAACAGATTTGGAAAACCGTTAAAAGGACATGCAATGAAACTAAACTAAGGGGAAGCGAGGAAGTCACTTAACAATGGTAATAAGTGTAATTTTTAATAAGGCTGTGATTTATGTTTGTTTGTTTTATGTGTTTATTTGTTTATAATGTTGTGAAAACCAATAATATTTTTTTAAAAAATAACATAAAATAAAAACACGCTGATCCCGGCCTGGATTGAGAAGGCGATTGGGTCGCATCCGGCCCTTAGTTTGCCTACCCGTGGGGCGAGGCAAAGCGCGCGGCCTCGGCGGGAAGCGCGGCTTGCGCCTGCAGGGGGCGCTGCGCCCCGGAGGGCCGCGGCGAGAACGCGGAGGCGGCGCCGCTCTTGAGGGAGCCGCCGGCTGCCCGTCGCCAGCGCGAGAGGCCCGCTCGGTTGCCTAGCGACCGGTGTAAACAAACGTGGGCGCGGGGCGAGGAAGCCGCGGGTCTTTGCGGCGGGAGGGAGGGAAGGAGGGCGGTTTCGCCTCGGGTGCGGCGGGACGCGGCGCCCCGCTCCTCCTCGTCCCGCCAGCAGCGCAGGCTCCGTGGCGGCGGCGGCGGCGGCCGGAGAGGCGTCGCTCCCGGGGCGGGCGAGGAGAAGCGCGCCTCGCCGGACGGAGAGTTTCCGAGTTCATCCTTCCCAGCTGCTGCTTTTCTCTGAGGGGCGGCGCGGGGATCGCAGCCCGACGGCGAGAGGCAACTATCCCAACTTCTGTTTTGGGCCATTTAGCAGCATCTGAAGCGCTTGCTTGGGAGGGAGCCCTCTTGGCCGCTTTGGGAGGGGGGCGAGGCTTACTTCTGAGTAAACAGGCCTAGATAGGTTCGGGCTGTAAAGGATCTTTAGTCTGTGTGACTTGTGAAAGTATTTTGCAAACTGTTTTGTTCTTTGCGTGGTTCTGTTGCATCGCTTTTCCCATTACAGTGGTACCTCGGGTTAAGTACTTAATTCGTTCCGGAGGTCCGTTCTTAACCTGAAACTGTTCTTAACCAGAAGCACCACTTTAGCTAATGGGGACTCCTGCTGCCGCCGTGCCACCGGAGCAAGATTTCTGTTCTCATCCTGAAGCAAAGTTCTTAATCTGAAGCACTATTTCTGGGTTAGCAGAGTGTGTAACCTGCAGTGGCGTAGCGTGGGGGGTGCCAGGGGTGCCAGCCGCACCGGGCGCAACATTTTGGGGGGCGCGTTTGGCCGGCCCCCCTCAAGGAAGCGGGAACCTCTCCAAGGCACAGCGTGCCGTCGGTAGAGGAAAAAAGCCGAGCAGCAGCAGCAGCAAAGTCGGGAGGAGGAGGAGGTGGAGCGAGCCTGCTAATTCCTTGCAAAGTCGGGAGGAGGAGGAGGTGGAGCGAGCCTGCTAAGAATTCCTCGCAGCTGGCCATCCAACCTCCAGCGAAGGAGGGCCCCGCTCCACCTTCCGAGGGAGCCTGCTAGGACCCCCGGCTCCCTGCAGGTGGCTCACAACCCCCGCTAGCCCGGCCGGGGCTCGGGGAGGATGGGAGCCGCCTGCTGGGCTGGCACAGCTGCGTGTGAAGGCGCGGAGGGAGGCGCTCCCAGGGCTGCCGGCGGCCTTTCCCCGCACGCGAAGGAGCAAGGGCGGCGGCGGCGGCGAGGCTGCGCAACAGCCGCTGCGTGAGAACGAGCCCTTGCCCAGCCCGGGGGACGATCCGGAGGCCCTCTCCGAGCGCGTCGCGTGTAGCCAGCCTGCCAGCCTGCCTGCCAGGGTGGAGCAAAGCGGCGGAGTGGGGAGAGGTTGCCCTTCTTCGCACGCAACCCCCCCCGTCACGCCTTAAATCCACCCTCCCACAAACTAGGAGCGAGCAGCTGAGAGGGAACAGCTGAGAGCCACGAGCAGCTTTTTCTGAAAATGCCCTTTAAAAAAAAAAATCCTAAAATTTATAAACCGCTTGACAGCTACAAAAGCGGTTTGCCAAGAGAATAAAACTGCCAGGAAACAGTGGTGTAGCGTGGGGGGTGCAGGGGGGGCCGGCCGTACCGGGCGCAACATCTGGGGGTTAGGGGGCGCAAATTACTTGCCTTGCCCCGGGTGCTGACAAGCCACGCTACGCCACTGGTAACCTGAAGCGTATGTAACCCGAGGTACCACTGTACTTGTTATGAGGAGAGTCATACTGTAATATTATGCTATTTATTGGTTCCAGACAATGTTTCTTACACGAACTTGGGGGGTCCCCACATGCTCCCAACTCTACCCCACAAAAGAGGTAGGTTAGGTGAGAGATAGTGACCTTGTGTGATTCTGGGTCTCCCCAGTCCTGTTTGTATGGTCACACACACACACACACACACACACCTTTGATTCCTGTGGCTATTATACAGTCCTACCTCGGGTTACAGACACTTCAGGTTGTGTTTTTTCGGGTTACAGACCACCCAAATCCGGAAGTACCGGGTTACTTATGGGTTTCGGCGGTCGCACATGCACAGAAGCGCAAAATCACACTTTGCACATGCGCAGAAGCGCCAAATCACAGCCCGCACGTGTGCAGACGTGCAGTTGCGGGTTGCGAACACTGCGGGTTGTGAGCGTGCATCCCGCACGGATCGCGTTCGCAGCCCGAGCGTCCACTGTATGTGCATAACACGTGGGAGTTCAACAGGTTGTGGCTCTTGACAGCATTTAGAAAAATGTTCCCCTGTCAAAGTTCTGTTTGTTGGTTTTATTGATCTTGAAGAGCCTCAAGCAGTTCTGGGATATAAAATGAGAGAAGATGCTACTTCTGCATAACTTTTCAGAGCCGTTCTTCATTATAGGTAAGAGTAGTTATTTTCTAGGTAAGAGAAAAGCAATCTCTAATATGTTGCTCTTTGTTCCCCGTTAAGTGCTGAAGACTGAGAATATAATGAAGACAGAAATAAAGAGAAACTCTCTCAAAGTGAAGTTTGCAAAGTAAGCGGGAATTGTTTCACACACAAGCTGCAATGGAAGAGATTCCAGTTAAAGTAGCAGTAAGAATAAGACCTCTACTTTCAAAAGAAGTGCTTCACAACCATCAAGTATGTGTGAGGTTAATCCCAAATACTCAGCAGATTATTATCGGAAAGGACCGTGTTTTCACTTTTGATTTTGTTTTTGGAAAACATTCAACCCAAGATGAAGTGTACACAACATGTATTAAGCCATTGGTGGCATCTTTGATAGAAGGGTATAATGCTACCGTTTTTGCCTATGGACAGACAGGCTCTGGAAAGACTTACACTATTGGAGGAGGTCATGTTGGTATGTGTTTGAAACCTTATATTTTATGATTTAATCATAGTTTTCTTGCAATGTTATTTTATGTCTCACCATTGGTAAAGAGACAATAAGGAAACTTCTGCATAAACTGCATAATCTGTTGATATCTGTTGTGTTTTTGTTTTTGTTTTACTTCTCTTCCTCTTGAAAAAAAGACGTAGCCAAAACTCTTCACTAAAATGTGCTTTTTCTGTTATGCAGTGCAAAGAGTACAGCAGTCTGCCTAACAGCATTTTTATGTTAATTGCTGCCATATTGAAGTATTCTTAATTAGCCAAAGTATTTAAAATGTACCAAACTATTCTAATCTTAGTTTTCTGCTGAAACATGGAATACAGAAGCTATCCAGAACAGAGAGTTAATCTAGATCAGTGTTTCCCAACCTTTTTTGGGCAAAGGCACACTTGTTTCATGAAAAAAATCTCGAGGCACACCACCATGCCAGATGGGGAAAGGTCACTTTTTACTTATGTAAAAAAAAATAAAAAAATAGTAACAGCATAGAAGGTAATGGTTAGGCTAGCATCCCTCTTCCAAATATGCTAGGTTTTTATTTGCAGGGACTGTTCTACATGGGAAAGCATTCAGCACTGTCATTCTCCCATCTGCCATCTGAATTGGTACTATTCTGGGTCAACTTACTCTGCTGCATGTGTAGATGAAAATGGCACCAAGTGTGGGGGAGGGGGCAGAACAGGTTTCAGATACAGGATATTAAGCATACACGTACTTCAGATTGAACTGGTTGCTTGCTTTGCAAGTTTTCATTTCCCAAATGACTACCTTGGCAAGCGCAATACCTACCAGGCTCAACGCCGGTCTCATAGAATCATAGAATCATAGAATCATAGAGTTGGAGGAGACCACAAGGGCCATCGAGTCCAACCCCCTGCCAAGCAGGAAACACCATCAGAGCACTCCTGACATATGGTTGTCAAGCCTCTGCTTAAAGACCTCCAAAGAAGGAGACTCCACCACACTCCTTGGCAGCAAATTCCACTGTCGAACAGCTCTTACTGTCAGGAAGTTCTTCCTAATGTTTAGGTGGAATCTTCTTTCTTGTAGTTTGGATCCATTGCTCCGTGTCCGCTTCTCTGGAGCAGCAGAAAACAGCCTTTCTCCCTCCTCTATGTGACATCCTTTTATATATTTGAACATGGCTATCATATCACCCCTTAACCTCCTCTTCTCCAGGCTAAACATGCCCAGCTCCCTTAGCCGTTCCTCATAAGGCATCATTTCCAGGCCTTTGACCATTTTGGTTGCCCTCCTCTGGACACGTTCCAGTTTGTCAGTGTCCTTCTTGAACTGTGGTGCCCAGAACTGGACACAGTACTCCAGGTGAGGTCTGACCAGAGCAGAATACAGTGGCACTATTACTTCCCTTGATCTAGATGCTATACTCCTATTGATGAGGCCCAGAATTGCATTGGCTTTTTTAGCTGCCGCGTCACACTGTTGGCTCATGTCAAGTTTGTGGTCAACCAAGACTCTCGCGCTGCCGCTTCCCGCGTTCTCAAGGACCCGGGAGGAGGAAGGCGTGAAGGCAATCCCGAAGGCGCGAAAACCTCGCGCATGCACAGGCCTTCCGCCTGCGACAGCCCAGTAGGCCGGCCGAAGCGAGCGGCGATGGGATGTGGGAGGGAGCTCGCTCGCCGCCCCGCGTGTGCCTATGTGGGGCACGTTACAGCCCCGTGACGTCAGCGCCACGCAGGCAGCCAGGCAGGCAGACGGTGAGAGCCCCGCGCTGGGCGGCCTCTCCTCGCTGCCGCCGCCCCGCCTCTCGCCGCCCGACTCGCCCGCCTCCCTCCCACGGCACACCAGGCAACGTCTCGCGGCACACTAGTGTGCCGCGGAACACCGGTTGGGAAACACTGATCTAGATTACTCTCATAGTAGTTAAAAATAGAATTTATGAAACACCACTTTCTTAGTAAGGGATTCACTTTCGTACAGTACTTCCCAATAAAATAAAAAAAAATCTATTAGCCACTCATTATCAGTTAGATTTTAGAGAACATAATGTGTTTGTGATAGGTGGTCTATCTCCTGGCTTTCCATAGTAAGATTTCAAGTTGTACTGATGTGAAGCTGTGCCATAGGTAACGACCACAAAGTAATATGGTGTTTGTGCCAGTCATTGTCCATAAGGATGCAGAAGGAAGTATCATTGTCAGGTCATTCTGTGCTATGGTGTCATGTGACATTTTAAAAAATGCATTGGCAGTGCCACAATTTATTTATCTATTAAATTTATATATCTCCCTTCCTCCCAGAGGATATAACAATGAGCACTACCCACTTTGTACATTTCAGCAATTTATTCATTTGCTGAAGAAATTGGGAAAAATCATATTGTGTCATATTGAATTCTGTTAAACTAAGCCATAAATTTTGCACTCACTTTTTAACTACACATCTGCAGGCGATTTGGATAGTACCAATTTGATCTTGAATGCAGACTTAGGAATATAGAAAGCTGCCTTATACAGAGTGAGACAATTGGTTTATCTTGTTCAGTATTGTCTATGCTGACTGGTAGCACCTCTCCTGGGTTTCAGACAGGATTCTTTACCAGCCCTGTCTGGAGATGCCAAGGATTGAGCTGTCTGCATGCAAAACATGTGTTCTACCATTGCTCTAAGCTAAGGGTCTTGGTTGTTTTTGTATCATGACTCAAAGTCAGAAATGCTGGCCTTTTAAAAAACAAAACATCGTGTTTTTTCTCTTCTTTCTTTTTTACTTCCTGCTAAAGTTCAGAGCATGGCTTGACTCCACAATTCTAATAGCAGGATACTGTATCGCTTCCAATATGTTTGCAGAATACTGAAATCAGACTCCTGCTGTTCAAATATTGATGTTGTCAATAGATAGTTCCGTTGTATAGGAAAGGCGCGATTTTATGTTTCCAGTGACCTGGGCTTAGGTTGATTATAATATCAAAACTAAGTATTATAATGAAATAATTGAAGACAGCATTTACTCTCTCGAATCATGTTTATTGGCTGTACGTAGCCATCAGTACTGGACTTCATATTTGGTTCAGGCCATTCTCTGAGGGTGTTGAGGGCTTTTTTTGGTCTTGTACATTGTTGGATATTTTCAGTTGGGGGGCATAAGGATGTGCACAATGTGCTCTGTAGGCTTTGACCAATTCTTTCCCCTCTTGGATGAGTAAATTTGGCAAATACTTTTTTAAATTTGTAACCAACTATTTGTTATCTCTGAGAGGAAATATTTATTTGTGTGACCTTGACAGGATTAAATGACTCATATTCATAAAGCTAAGAAGCCTTCAGAACCTTTGTGGAATTTCCCTGTGTACATCTTTATCATTTGAATGTACAAATTTTAGCTGGGTGCTTAGGCTGTTTTCTTGTTTCATTTTAGCATCAGTTGCAGAAGAAGAGAGAGGTATCATTCCACGTGCAATTGAGGAAATATTTCAGATTATTTCAGAAAACCATAATATTGATTTCACTGTGAAAGTTTCTTACATCGAGGTCTACAAAGAGGAACTCAGAGATCTTTTGGAACTAGAAACCTCTATGAAATATCTACAAATTAGAGAAGACGAAAAGGGCAATACAGGTAATTATTTAAACTTAATTTGTCTGTTTGCTCTTGCTTGCTTGGCAGTAAGTAATGTTATAAATGAATTTTTAAAACAGACAAGTATTGATGTCAAAAATCTACTGCTAACAAGAAAATTCTAATAGTATCTCATTACATCCAAAATATTGCATGAAAACAGTTGCCTCTGCTTTGGTATGAATGTAATTTAAAGTCTTTACAGAGATGAAAATATATATTGGGTTGGAGCAAGACTGCCCATGGGTAGAACTCTGCTACGAGAATTCTCCTGCTGGAGGAAGTGAGGAAGGCAATATACTCTGATTTCCCTTTTCTCCTGCAACCCAATGTGTCCCCTGTAAAGCTGATCCCGAGAAGCAACTTCTTTATGCTGTGCATCATTGTTGATGATAATGTCACTTGTGGTTTAAGTAGATGCTTGAAATTAGGCAAGTCTTTAAAACAGATGTGATAACTTGCTGTTTTAATACCTAATAACATTCTGTTTATAGCTTAAACATGTCCACTGTTGCCCTATATTTTTTAGTTAGAGTAATTTTTCTCCACCTAAACTGTCTTCCAGATGTAATATTTCATGACATTTTCATAGAACACATTTGGCCCTCCAGGCCCCTCTATCCCCACACCCTGGTGTACTGGTTTTACGGATGCCGATGCTTGTTCCGAAATGAACAGGGACGAGAGAGTGACACAGAGTTTTTTAAAGGTCACCAGAACATACAGCTATGAACTTGGGAAGCAAATTACCTGTGCTTGAGCTTGCTTTTCCCTTCTCCCTCCTCTTCTTTTTTCCTTGTGTGTTGTGTCTTTTTAGACTGTGAGCCTGAGCGCAGGGCCAGTCTTAGTGCTGATTTTTGTGAGCTGCTCTGAGAGCCCTTTTTATTGGCTAAAGGACAGGGTATAAATGCTGTAAATAAATAAATAAAATATAACTATAGAGCAGCATTGTCAGCCTTTTGTCTCCCATTAATTCCAATCCCAATTTTTATGCCATTTTATTTTTTAATATTATTTTTATTACATTGATCAGTCACTATATACAGAAGAAAAAAAATATAGTATGAAACTTAGTGTGTTTTTACCAAGTCTGACTCTTGCTCCATCTAGCTCAGTATTGTCAACACTGTCTTGTCAGCAGCTCACCAGTTTTAGACAGCATTTGTTCCCAGCTGTCCCTGAGATGCCTAAGATTAAATACACTTTGTGTGATCAGCTATGGTGTGTGTGTGTGTGTGTATGTGTGTGTGTGTGCACACTCACTGTTAAGTTGTGGGTGAACATATCAGACAACACAGTGATTCTTCAAACAGCTATTGTTTATTCAGAGGCCAGAACAGAACTGAACTGAAGGGTTCAGCCAGCCTGCTTATATAGAGCTCCACTAGAAAGTAACTGTAACAACTTTCTGTAACTATCCAATCACTGAATGTCACTTTCGATCCCTTATTTGCATATGTGGACCTGAACTATCTACAGTATCCCCCTGCTGGCCCAGGGTGAGAACTTCAGTACATAACACTCACAACACTCTTCCAGATGCTCCTAGTGATTCCGAATTATTGCTTTTCCATTGTAAGCTACAAGTGGAATTGCAACTGATTTTCCCTCCTGTTAGGAGCATTGTGCTTTCTGTCTACGCCAGTGAGTGTGACAGAGTTGCTGTAGATAGGATCAATTGCAGCTCAGCACACATTCCCTTGTGGAGAGTGTCATTTAATAACCACACTGTTATTTTTTAAAATTAAAGAGGTATAGTGCTATAAGAATACTGTTGTAGTGCTGTAACACTGTACTACATTTTAAAATGTAGGCAGAGAAGCATTGGCAATAAGTAGATTAAAAAAACAAATCAGGGTCATAAACTGCCCACAACAAATGTTGCAATGTGTGTTGTGTGGTGATAGGTTCACTTTCCCAATACATCACTGCCGCTGTCAAAACTTTGCCCTTTTTAAAAACCTGAAAGAGTAGTATAAAAAGTGACTGAATGTGGAGATTGTGCTTCTGAAAAGAGGTGGACTTTCTGAGGTTAGATTATAGAGAAAATACAGTATGACAGTGACTGGATGATGGTGTTGTGTGAGGGCCCCATAAAAGGTAAATGAACAAAGTGGGGCAATTTACCCTAAATACCTAATGTGGAAACACACATAGAACACACCCCATTCAAATATCACCTCTTCAAACGTTTGCAGTTGTTTATAATTAACAGCTGCATACTTCCTAATACCATAATTAATTTGTCAAATGTCTTCTTGAATGAGGCATATGAGTTTTAATAGTCTATATTTTGCGGTTAGCTTTGTTTACTATTCTTTATGGTTTGCTCTTTAAAAATGTGTTTTTAAATTTATTTTTAAAGTAATTGTTGGTGCCAAAGACTGCCAGGTTGAAAATGTGGATGAAGTAATGAGCTTGTTAGAAACCGGAAATGCCGCTCGACATACAGGCACAACCCAAATGAATGAGCATTCTAGCCGATCTCATGCGGTTTTTACAATCAGTATTTGTCAACAACAGCAACCTGGTCAGACTCAGAAGGACACAGATTCTGTGCAAGATTCACCTCAAAGTTCAAGCCAGCTGATTGCTTCCAAGTTCCACTTTGTTGATCTTGCCGGCTCTGAAAGAGTAACAAAAACTGGGAACACTGGTGAAAGGTTCAAAGAATCAATTCAGATCAACAGTGGCTTATTGGCTCTGGGAAATGTGATAAGTGCGCTTGGGGACCCAAAGAGAAAAAGTGCTCATATTCCATACAGGGATGCAAAAATTACACGTATTCTTAAGGACTCCTTAGGAGGCAATGCCAAGACTGTCATGATAACTTGTATTAGCCCATCATCTTCGGATTTTGATGAATCACTCAATTCCATCAAATATGCCAACAGAGCCAAAAATATTAGAAACAAACCTATTGTCAACTACAACCCAGACTGGGACCTTATTGACGAAATGGAGTTTGCCATCAAGATACTCCGTGAAACTGTGCAAAACCAGCAGATCCCTGGTAGTCAAGGGTCACAGGATTCATTTCGGGACAGAAACAAAATCCGCTCTCTTGAAGAGCAACTTGCCCAGCTTCAGGTGGAAAGTTTTAACTACCGAAATTGCATGGAAGAAGCCTATGTGTTCCTTGCCGAATTAAAAAATCTTGCCAGCCTATCAAAAAGTCAACAGGAAAGATTGCAAGATTGGATATGTGTGGCTCAGGAACTCAGGAGAGAGGCTTCTTCAGTCATTCCCCAGGTAAACTGTGGAAGTGGAGGTAACCAAGAAGGACCACATCACATCACAATTCTTCAGCTGAAGAGAGAGCTGAAGAAGTATCAGGTATTTTACTGTAAATTTAATGCAAGTGGTGAGAGTACATAAAAAGGAAATCTACGCTGTAACTGGAAAGTTTATCCATTCTTAATCAAGGTTCTTTGTAAATTGCACATACATTGTTTGCTCATCTGGAGGGCAAATCAAATTTGCTAGATGTCCAAAAATTAGATTTTATTCATTGGGATAATACTTTAAGCAGAATTGTAAGGTTTGGAGGAATAAAAATCTGCATCAGCTTTACATGGCTGAATTACATATTAGTTCCTTATTTTTTATATTCTTCTGCAGCTTGAATACAGACAATACTATACCACAGCAAAATTGAAGTATTGGGAGAGTCTGACATAAGGGTGAAATAATTATCTCATACAAAATGATGTCTTATATATGGATTGATGTGGTGTTATACCTGTTTGTAAGGGAGGAAATTTGCCTTTACCTTAATCAGAATTTGCTTTAGAACACTGATAAAACACAATGTGCTACATTTATTTTCTACTTTCATTAATAATAACAAATTGGTTCCTAATTCATTGACAAAATTGCAGAATCTCATTGGAAATAACTGAAATATTAATAGTTGTTTAGTTCTGTGGGGCATCTTTCTTTGTGTGTTGCCAATTTGCCTTATATTTACAGTCTTATCGCTGCTTGGCTAGTGCATGATTCCTTGTTATGTATTGTGGTGACAGAAGGAATCAGACTACTGTATATCTCTCTGCATTCTGCCGCTGAGTGAAAAACTAAAAATTCTCAGCAGGGGTGTTATACAAGGGAAGGTGAAAGTGCACCTCCCATGCTGGTAGTTTTGAACAGCTGTTTCTGCTAGGTCGCACATACCTCCTTGGTCTACACTTCATAATAGTGCTAGACACAAAACCTGTAAAGAGAAACTCATTTTCCCCTTTCAGCCAAGGTTTACTGTTCTTCATTCTAGTCCCTACAGCCAAAAAAAAAATCCCACATGAAACACAGATATATAATATATAGTTGTTGTTTGAGCAGTTTTGATTACTTCGTAGAAAAAAACCCTTGTTTTTGCTTCCTGTGACTTAAAGTCATATACGTAATCAAAGGCTAAGCATTAATAACCAATAACATCCCTCTTTTTAACTTGCTGTTGTCCTAGATTGTAATGAATACTAAGGGCTGTATTTAAATTATATCTATATAGCTTTGCTTTCTAACAGTTTCTATCAGATAAACATATCTAACTAATGGAGGAGTACGGTAAATACATATAAGTTCAATGTGCAATTTATGCAAGCTCCATTTCATATATTTTGTTATCTTTTTTAACCCCTTATTACCCTAGCAGGCTCTTGCTATGATGCAGAAGTGTTTAGTGCAGAGAGAGCTTGAAGATAAAAGTATTGCAAGATCAAATACAGAAGGCTGAAAAGGAGAATCAAGCAATATATGGAATTGCTGAAGGAGGCCCAAGAGACAAATAGGCTACAGGTAACTTTCCGTTGTGCTGGTTATCGGTGAAGGCTGTATGAAGTAATATTAAAGTTGTCAATCTTATATAAATTATTAAACCAACATAGTGGAAATAATCTTAACCCAAGGGAAGTAATCTGCAACGGACATTATCTGAAAGTCTTAATAGTGATATTCATGTTCATTTGAAAATGTATGTGTAGGATTGCAACCAAAGTTTGGGTTATGCTCTGTCAGAATTGCACAGTATCATTCTAGATGATTTTTTTAAAGGTGTGTGTATAATGTATTTTGGTTTTTGAACTACATTTATTATAAAAGTTTAAATATTACATTCCCAGTCATCATACTGTTAATGCTTTGGTGGACTTGACTTGAATGAATCTCAGCATTGCAGTATCCCAACTATTTAATTCTTAGCCTGAGTTTTGTTAAGTTATATAGCAATTCTTAATGCTGTTAAGCTCATAGAGTTCTGTTTACTTACAGGCAAACAACTCTAGTGCTTAAACTGACCACACCTCACAACATTTACTGTATTTTTCGCTCTATAGGACGCACCTGACCATAGGGCACACCTTGTTTTAGAGGAGGAGAACAAGAAAAAAAAACTCCCCCTCTCTGCTCAGTGCCCTTCAGCGAAGCGGCAGGAGAAATGGAGCCCCTTCCATTTCTCCTCCCGCTTGGCTGAAGGGGCGCTGCGCAGCTCTCCCTCTCTGCTGAAGCCAGGAGAGTCTTGTTCTCCCGGCTTCAGCAAAAGGAACCCGAAGCCTCTGGAGCGCAGCGGGAACTCGCGCTGCGCTCTGAAGGCTTCAGGTAGCTATCCCTGAAGCCTGGAGAGACTCGAATCTGAAGCCTGGAGAGACTCTCCAGGCTTCAGCGAAAGCAATGCGAAGCCTCTGGAGCGCTCCCTCTGAGCTTCGGAGGCTTCGTGTTGCTATCGCTGAAGCCTAGGAGCCTGCATTCACTCCATAGGACACACACACATTTCCCCTTAATTTTTGGAGGGGAAAAAGTGCATCCTATAGAGTGAAAAATACGGTAATTACAAATTATAGCAATCAGAACTTCTATTTGTTATACAGTGGTGCCCCGCAAGACGAATGCCTCGCAAGACGAAAAACTCGCTAGACGAAAGGGTTTTCCGTTTTTTGAGTCGTTCCGCAAGACGAACTTCCCTATGGGCTTGTTTCGCAAGACGAAACGTCTTGCGAGTTCTTGCGAGTTTGTTTCCTTTTTCTTTTTTTTTTTTTTTTTTTTTTTTTTTTAAATTTTTTAAAGATTTTATTATAGAAAGATGCACAAGTTACAGTATATTCCAAACATTACAAGTACAAACATGCACGAAAAGAGCTACATCAGACAAAAGCGAAAAATGAAAAAAGCAACAAAACAAAAAAGCAAAAATAAAAAAAAAACAAAGAAGAAAAGAAAAAAGAGAAAAAAAAAAAAAAGAAACAAAAGCACCACAAACACAGGTGCTATTGACAAAACTTCCGTCCAGCTCGGTCTTGGATTTACCAATTCTTATATTGTTATTGCAGTTTTAATAATACAAATACACACCGAAGATTTCAACTATCGTCTACTGATAAATTAGTTAAACCCTGTATGTTTTCAAAATAAATTAAGAATTTATTCCATTCATTTTTAAGTTTGCTCGAGTTGTGTTGTCTTATTTTTTGTGTTAATCTTGCTAACTCGATGTATTGGTATAGCCTCATTTGCCACTCTCCTATAGCAGGTAAGTCAGAGGTTTTCCATTTTTGTGCTATTAGAATCCTCGCCGCAGCCGTAGCATATTGGAAAAAGGTTTGGTCTGTTTTCTTTATTTCTTTACCAATCAGCCCTAAAAGAAACAGCTCAGGGATTTTGGGGATGTTATACTTCAAGATTTTTTTCAGTTCGTCATGAATTTGCGTCCAAAATCCTTTTATTACATCACAGGTCCACCAAATGTGAAAGAAAGTCCCGACCTTATCTTTACATCTCCAACAGGTGTTAACAGCTGTTTTGTACATTTTTCCTAGCTTTGCTGGGGTCAAGTACCAACGGTAGACCATTTTCTCTAAATTTTCCCGCAAAGCTATGCATGCTGAAAATTTTACACCTGTCGTCCAAAGCTTTTGCCATTTACTGTAATCTATGTTGTGGCCAATGTCTTTCTCCCATTTTACCATAACCCCTTTCACCCGATCTTCCTTGGTGTCCCATTCCAATAATTTTTATACATTTTTGATAGGGATTTACTATTACTTTCCAAGATTTCTACCTGGAACCATGATTTTTTTTCCTTCATGCCCAGTCTTTTATGCTCGCCCCATAAGGCGTGAATCTGGTGAAAGTGGAGCCAGTCTTTTATTTTATCTTTCAGTACCTCATAAGGCTTCACCCTCCATCCTGTTTCTGTCTTTTCTAAAATTTCCTCATACGTACATTTTTCATCTGCCATATTTATTTTTTTTAAATTAATAATATTGGTTGGGGAAAGCCACCATGGGGTACCTTTCTCGAGCACTTTTTTATACCTCTTCCACACTTCCAACAGTGGGCCTCTGATAATATGATTAGAAAATCCTCTGTGGACCTCCCCCTTATCTTGCCACAGGTAGGCATGCCACCCGAATCTTATATTGAAACCCTCCAGATCTAGAAGGTCTGAGTTTCTAAGGGTGGCCCACTCCTTTATCCAGCAGATACAGGCTGCATGCAGTTGTTTCCTTTTTCTTAAAGCCGCTAAGCCGTTAATAGCCGCTAAGCCGTTAATAGCCGCTAAGCCGCTAATAGCCGTGCTTCGCAAGACGAAAAAAACGCAAGACGAAGAGACTCGCGGAACGGATTAATTTCGTCTTGCGAGGCACCACTGTACTAACTCCCAAGATGTATCGATTCACTAGAAAGGAATACAAGAGAAATTCAGTATCTCAGCCTAATCTAGCGCACAGTGTTGTTGTGGGAAGAAGGGAAGAAAGAAAGAAATTCAGTAGCAAGAACTTTTCAGGCTCATGTATTGGTCAGCGAGGGCAGAAATTACTTAGTTTTGCAATTTTGTCAGATGTTTGATAAATACATGTTTTGTTTTGTTGTTTTGTTTTAAGAATGATAAAATGGTGGAGCAGCAGCTTATAATTGACCGGCTAAATGACAAGTTAGAGAAAATTACAAAAGCCTCTGCCTCCAGTGGTGGTTGTGGAGATGGACCAGCTGGTGTAATATCTTCAAAAAGACCATACAGTGTTCCTCTAACTAAACGTTTGGTGCAATCCTTTAATGCTACCGTGGGGCTGGATTCTCGAAAGGTATTTTTTATTTAACAAGTTTTATGTAGTGCTTGATTGTAAGAAAGCCTCTAAGCAGTTTAGAAAAATATAAAATAAAACATTAAACTGCCAAATAGACAGTTAAAAACAGGTATTAAAAACATTCAAAAGATGATTTGAAATGTAGGTATGAAAATTACCATCTTTTTTCTGATATATAAGTACGGTACAAAAGTGACCATTCTCCACGACAGTAAATGGTATATCTGACTTTTTGAATGCCACTTCTCCAACCATATTGAGAAAGTTTCTGGTAGCCTGCAGGTTTGCAGCTTCATCTTTAATTGAAGAAAACCATCTAAACAGAATTCCTCCCATTGGATTCAAGAGGCAGGGCAAAGGTGACAGATCTCCTGATTCATCTGGAAGGTTTTTAAGAACATTCGAAGAGCCAATCTTTGCCACAATAATGTTCTTGCAGCAGCCAGCCAGATGCCTATAGGAAGCCTGCCAGCAGGACCCGAGTGCCATACCGCTCTCCCCACCTGCAATTCCCAGCAGAATTCAGGGTATTCTGGTATTTGGAGGCATACAGCCTCCAACAGTAGAGGCTGAACAAAGCCATTGTGGCTAGAAGCTATCAATAGCCTTATTTTCCATGGATATCCAGTCCTCTTTTACAGCAATCGAAGTTGGTGCCACCACTATGTTATGTTTTATGTTACACTATGTAACAGGGACGCGGGTGGTGCTGTGGGTTAAACCACAGAGCCTAGGGCTTGCCGATCAGAAGGTTGGCGGTTTGAAACCCCGTGACGGGGTGAGCTCCCATTGCTCGGTCCCAGCTCCTGCCAACCTAGCAGTTTGAAAGCACGTCAAAGTGCAAGTAGATAAATAGGTACCACTCTGGTGGGAAGCTAAACGGCGTTTCCGTGCACTGCTCTGGTTTGCCAGAAGCGGCTTAGTCATGCTGGCCACATGACCCGGAAGCCAGCTCCCTTGGCCAATAAAGCGAGATGAGCACTGCAACCCCAGAGTCGGTCACAACTGGACCTAATGGTCAGGGGTCCCTTTACCTTTATGCTACTGTTTATAGGCTGCCTTTTGGCCAAAAAATGCCTCCAAGACAGCTCATAAAGAGTAACAAACAAATACAGGGTGGAATTCAGTATTGTGTATGGTGAACATAGTGACAGCGCAAGCATTACAGCTTGCCAGATGGAACGACGCCCCACTTCCCCATCCTGCACTGCTCTGGAGGCTCTGCTAATACCATCACCACCACTGCCCAAGCCAATATCTGGTTAGTATGTATGATTAGGACTGTGGAGACCCAGGCTCAGATCCCCATTCAACCATGAACCATGAACACCCACTTAGGCAAACCTATCTCACAGATTTGTTGAGAGTAAGATGGGCAAGTGAAGAGAACTCTATACCCCACTTTTTATTTTGTTCTGTGTATATTGCTATTGTGATGGGATGATGAGCTGCTTGTGCGTAAAATCCTAGTCCCTCAGAGTTTGATCAAATCCGCAAACCTCTGCCTACGACGGAGCCCCTCAAGCATGGCTCCGTCAGTCGCTAGCAGAATCCGAAAGTGGGCGCTTACGGAATCTCTTCCAGCATAAAAGCTCCTTAACGGAAACACGTCTTCTGGACTCTCGGCGCGACAGTTTCTGGCGAGGAGTGGGTGTCCCTATAGGAGGTCTTGAAACCTCCCCACTGTTTTCGCTGGAAGTGTCTCTGAGCCATCCCTCCAACTCACTTTCCCTTGGAGTTCCTTCTCTCCCCCTGCTGGTTCCCTCTTCAGCTGCTAAGTCTCTCTCAACCTCAGTGAGCACTTCCACCTCCTGTCCTTCCGATGGCAGTTCCCTGACAGCTATGTTCTTTTGTTGCTATGGCCGATGGCTGAATGAATGAAGTTTTATTCATTCATTCATTCATTCTATACCCTACTTTGAGTTCTTTGGCAACCATTTTTTTATATCTCTAAAGGTACACACAAGCCCGCCAACATATTCGCTCAACAGAGTAATGGCTGGATTTCGAACCCGTAGCCAAATAGTGTTGGATCATGTAGAAGAACAAGATGAAGTTCTTCATTGCTGCTTTTCTGATCACAGTGATGAAGATGAAAGAAATGCCAAGAACAGAAAGAGAACCCTATTTAGGTACATATTTTGTCCTGTTTTATGCCTGTGTATTTAGGAGGAAATACTGGCCTACTACAAACCTGGGTCAAAATGTAAATGCATATCAGTGTTATGCTAGGCATTCATACAAAGTTGAATGTACAGGTGATTAGCATTGGAGTAGCTCCAGGTTGTAACAGAGATGTACTTGAATAAATAGGGCTGGCCTGTTAAATATGTGTCTTTTAGCACAGGGCATTAAGTTGAGGTGGGTGTAAGGCAGGAACGGTGGAATTCTAGCTTTGCCACCAGTACAACAAACCAGAAGGCAACTTGGCTACAAAGGAACGTCAGAGCATTCAGTGTAACTATTTTTAGTACCACCCCACCCATCTGACTGGGTTGCTCCAGCCACTCTGGGCAGCTCCCAGCATATATTAAAAATATAGTAAAACATTAAAATATAAAACACTTCCTATAAAGGGCTACCTTTAGATGTTTGCTAAATGTTATATAATTACTCATCTCCTTAACATCTGATGGGAAGGCATTCCACAGGGTGGGTGTCACTACCGAGAAGGCCCTCTGCCTGGTTCCCTGCTTATGGATTTGGCAATCATGTGAAGCATAGCCAGAGAAAAACACCTCATACATGTGGTCTCAAAACTGTATTTGTAGGGTTTAATCAATTAAAATGCGTGGTTTAATTTTACTCTAGACGCTCCTTAAATCGTACATGGACACGAAAACAAGCTCCTCCCAGCTCTACACATGAACCAAAAGAGATGCAGCACAATAATTCCATTTCACAAAATGAAAACATTTTACAAATGGAAACTGATACAGGTAAGGAAAGGAAATGGATGCTACGATGCAAAAACTTTTTCATGTATCATGCATTCTACTAATAATTATTAGGGACATTAGGGTCCAACGAGTAGCATTGGTCTTGTAGCGTGGAAACATTGATCAGGATCTGTAAGATTAATTTGAGAGTGTGACATTTGCCCTAGGGCGCTAACCTATTGTAATCTTTACAAAACAAAGCAAAAGAATACATAAAAAGGAATAGAAGTTGCCATCATATTATTATTTATTAAATTTCTATTGTTGTTTAGTCATCTTAGTTGTGTTCGACTCTCTGTGTCCCCACAAACCAGAGCATGCCTTGGAAACTCTCACTTTCTTCTCAAAGCTCCTTTTTTACGTATGTCCATGGAGTTTTCTTGGCAAAATACTTGAATGGTTTGCCAGTTCCTTCTCCAGGTGGATCACATTTAGTCTAAACTCTCGGCTATGACTTGTTCATCTTGGGTGGCCCTGCACAGCACAGCTTATAGCTTCTCTGAGTTATTCAAGCCCCTTTGCCACAACAAGGCAGTGATCCATGAAGGGGTAAATTTCTATACCACCCTTCATTTAAGGATTGCAGTATCTACTTCACAACATTGATTGCTCATGTTCAAATGCGAGTGGCATTGGACCATGTTCTAGCACAAAATACTACCACAAACATATTAACCAGTGTGGCACAAATTGTTAACCAAGGTCTGTACCAGGTGTGGGGAAGTGGCTGTGGCTGGAGGACTAGATTCTGAGTTGGTTCACCCTCTGTAGACTACTTTGACAAGTGGGTGGTGTCTGGGTGTCCTCTCTTGTTCAAAAATATAAATTAATTTTACTTCCTATATGTATAATCTACTTTCGCTCCATGGGTGCTAAAGCAGATTTATAGCTAAAAATCTCTTTAAGTTCTGAAATGAGCTGTACATTCTTTAAAAGATGATTCTTTCTTTCCGAGGTGCTGATATTGAATGTATTCAGAAAAGTCAAATACTGAATAGGCAGAAATTGAAGAACTCAGAACTAAAGCTTATTGCTGCTAAGCAAAAAATGAGTGAACTGGCCCTTAATATCAGAATGAAGGAAGAACTTATTAAAGAGCTGGTGAAAACAGGTAACTGGCTTTTGCAAGTTGAATTTTATAAAACTGGAAACATGTCAAAAATGATACCTTAATTACTGTTACAGTCAAACCTTGGTTGTCGAATGTAATCCATTCCGGAAGCCCGTTCATCTTTTGAAATGTTCGACAACCAAGACTTCTGATTGGTTGCAGGAGCTTCTTGCACTCAAACAGAAGCCACATGGGATGTTTGGCTTCCAAAAAATGTTCAAAAACCAGAACCCTTCCAAGTTTTTGGTATTTGGGAGCCAAAACGTCCCAAAACACAGAATTGATAACTTGGCCCTCTATTCAAGGAAATCATCCATATGCACAAGGAGTTCCACTTATACAACAGAACTTCCTCTCCTCACCCCATGTCCGTGGGTTAGTAAGTCCATTTCAGTCTAATAAAGTGGTAGGTGGGGAGGACACAACCACAACTTGGAGGAAAGGGTGGTGATATATACAGTGGTGCCTCGCAAAATGAAATTAATTCGTTCTAAGAGTTTTTTCGTCTTGCGAATTTTTCGTCTTGCGAAGCACGGTTTCGGAAAAGTTTTGGAAAAGCTTCAAAAATCACCAAAGTCTTCAAAAACCTCAAAAAAGGCTACCACACCGCATTCTATGAGTTGCTCCTCGAAGTCAAGTCGCAACTGTATTAATGGTTTTAAGAAAAAGGAAACAAACTTGCAAGACGTTTCCATCTTGCGAAGCAAGCCCATAGGGAAATTCATCTTGCGAAGCAACTCAAAAAACCAAAAACCCTTTCGTCTTGCGAGTTTTTCGTCTTGCGAGGTACCACTGTATGTGTATACAGAGAGAGAGAGATAAAGATTAATAGGTTTGTGGGGTTTTTTAAAAAAGGGAAGAAGTTCCTTTTGAGCAGTGAGCTGCTACATTGTCAAAAGTTACAAATGATGCCTTTGCTTTTAATTTGTGGACGTTTAAGGTAATGATGCCCAATCTGTAAGTAAGCAGTATTCACTGAAAGTAACACAACTTGAGCATGAAGCAGAGCAGGCCAAAATGGATTTAGCCGAAACACAAAAGCAACTGCAGGAGCTGGAGAACAAGGAACTACGAGACATTGCTGAAAAAGCCAGGTTACAAAAAGAATTTAGAAAGAAAATGGATACAGCAAAGCTAAAAGTACAGGTATGTGTAGTTGGGAAACTAATTTCCCAATTTCCTTACATGGCAAGTTGACGTAGGATCTTATGTACTCCATTGTATCAACCTTATGATAGTATTCTCTCAAACAAATGAATAGTTTCGGGTTGGTAGAGCATGGTGGCTTAGAAACAGAGCCATTGATCAGGAAGTCATTGGTCTGGAATTACTAGGTAGCATCTATGCATACACTCCTGTACTGGTACTACCCACAATTCTCTTTCAGACTTGCAGCACATTCCCATCTATCGTGCATTTTGTTTTATTAGCCAGGTAGTTCTTCTTGTATAGCCCAGGTGTATGTGCCATATAAAACCAGCAATGCAAATTTAACTATTCACAAGTGATTTCCCAGGCAATAGATTACTTTTGTGAATATGCAGTGTTAATAAATTCTGCTTTTAGGCAAATAGCCATGGCCGTGGTTGATGATTTTTATACATCATAGTACCCATTGCTCCCCACCCCATGCAAGACTTGGTTTATGTTCCGCCTACATGTTTTTCTTCAAAGTAAAATATATTTTGTACAGCTTGCCTTTCTACTTTAAAAAACAACAACTGCAAGGAGGCTTGACAAAAGTCACATAGTTAAACATATTAAAGTGGTCCACTTTACAATTACAGTGGTACCTCGCAAGACGAAATTAATTCGTTCCGCGAGTTTTTTCTTCTTGCGAGTTTTTTGTCTTGCGAAGCACGGTTTCCCATAGGAATGCATTGAAAATCAATCAATGCGTTCCTATGGAAACCGCCTTCAGACCAGGTCCGGGGACAGTCTGTCCCCCGACCTCTTCTGAAGGCTGGGAGGGGAGGGGAGGGGACAAGGGCTTTTCTTCCCACCGCCAGCCTTCAGAAGGCTGTTCTGAAGGCTGGTGGTGGGAAGAAAAGCACTTCTCCCCACCTCCCGCCCCGCAAGCTCCGGGGACAGGAGGGCTTTGCTGCCGCCCGCCAGCATTTTAAAAGCCCCCGGGACAGCGGAGACTTCTCCGCTGTCCCGGGGCGATTTTAAAATGCTGGCAGGCAGCAGCGAAGCCTCCGCTGTCCCGGGGCGATTTTATAATGCTGGCGGGCGGCAGCGAAGTCTCCGCTGTCCCGGGGGCTTTTAAAATGCTGGGGGTCGGCAGCGAAGGTTGCCGCCCGCCAGCATTTTAAGATCGCCCCGGGACAGCGGAGAAGTCTCCGCTGTCCCGGGAAGGCAGGCGGGGGGAAGCAAAGACTTTTGCCCCCCGCCGGCCTTCAGAAGAGGTCCAGGACCTCTTCTGAAGGCCAGCGGTGGGCGAAAGTCTTTGCTCCCGACCGCCAGCATTTTAAAAGAGGTCCCCGGAGATTTCCCTATGGGCTTTCTTCTTGCGAAGCAAGCCCATAGGGAAATTCGTCTGGCGAAGCACCTCAAAAAACGGAAAACTCTTTCTTCTTGCGAGTTTTCCGTCTTGCGAGGCATTCGTCTTGCGAGGTACCACTGTATAAACAACACAATAATAGTACAATACAGTATAGCAATATGGACTAATGCTGGCTATGTTGCATTAGGACTTGCAAAGAAAACAGCAGGACTCTAAGAAACTGGCATCGCTGTCCACCCAGAATGAGAAACGTGTAACTGAACTGGAGCAGAATGTCAGTCACATGAAAAATCAGCAAGCCCAGCTTCAGAAAAGATTGCAAGAGGAGAGTGAAAAAAAGAAAAGCTTGGAGGCAGAAATTCAGCAGGGCCAGCTGCAGATAAAGGCAAGAGATTTCATTTCTGTATGTCCTAATAAAACGGTAATACCAGTTTCATAGTCTTCTGTGAGACGTATCTTTGGCACTTTTCCTGTAGAACATCATGCAGTGCTAAGATGGTTTTTGTGTCATTTGTAAACCAGGTCATCCCTGGTTCAAATTTCACAACGGCTCTGAATGCACTAGGTAACCTAGGCAAATTGCTGTCTCTCAGGATCACCACCCACCCGCCCTGGGTATGAAGTAATGAAAACCTGCCTTACAGAGTTCTTTGTAAAGATTACTGCATCCAAAGAACTCTGAAGATTCTGAAATGATACATACACATCTTTTCTTGATATTTCTATTTTAAAATACTTGTAACCCATCAGTTTGTTTTAAGGCTCATATGTTAGAACTTCCAGTGCTGTCACGACTACTTTCTGTTACTAAAATAACAGACATTAACTACCAGGCTAGGTTCAAGGGGCTGGTTCTGGTGTGGAAGGTCCTGTGAGCTTGGGACCAGGATACCTAAAGAATAGGTAAAGGTAAAGGTACCCCTGCCCGTACGGGCCAGTCTTGACAGACTCTAGGGTTGTGCGCCCATCTCACTTAAGAGGCCGAGGGCCAGCGCTGTCCGGAGACACTTCTGGGTCACGTGGCCAGCGTGACAAAGCTGCATCTGGCGAGCCAGCGCAGCACACGGAAACGCCGTTTACCTTCCCGCCAGTAAGCGGTCCCTATTTATCTACTTGCACCCGGGGGTGCTTTCGAACTGCTAGGTTGGCAGGCGCTGGGACCGCGCAACGGGAGCGCACCCCACCGCGGGGATTCGAACCGCCGACCTTTCGATCGGCAAGCCCTAGGCGCTGAGGCTTTTTACCCACAGCGCCACCCGCGTCCCCACCTAAAGAATAGTTCCATCCTTTATATGCCCAGTCAACCTCTGCACTCTGCAGGAGAGGGTTTCCTGCAAATACCATCTTATTAGGAGGTCCGTTCCACACAATATTGGATTTTGACCTTTAGTGTTCTGTTGAATATTAAACAGGTGCCATCTCTCTTATCTTTTCGGCACCCACTAAAGACCTTTCTCTTTAAACCAGCCTTTTTATTTCCCAAGCTGCATCTGTACTGGAATTGTTTTTGTATATTTTAATTGTTTTATTGCTTGTCTGATTTCCGCCCTGGGCTCCTTTGAGAGGAAAAGCAGGATATAAATTTAATAACTATATATGGAATAACAACTAAACTTTAGTTTTCCTTTCAAAAACTGATCTAATGTGTGAAAAGGATTCTTCCTTTCCTTACAGGAGCTCCAACAAAAGACAGAGCAGCAGGAAAAGATTCTGAAACTAAAAGATGAAGAAATTGCTGCATTTAAGAGAAAAAACTCATCTGAAAGCACTCAGCAACTGCAGGTATGCAATATTTTGTAAAGTTGGCAAGTTGAAATGCTACTGACTGATTTTTGTGGCAGAAGCATCTTCTTTTGTTAGGATTTACTGTAAAGCTCAAGGGCTGCAACTTGTTAACTTAATTTTTTAAAATAGAAATTCACAAGGAAAAAATGCTTCTCTAATTGGAAACAACAACAACAAGATATTACAGTGTTTCAGTTATTTGGTGTGCTTAATCAGCCATTTTTTAACTGTACCATTAAAAACCCTCTGGTTGATTAAGCAATTACTAAAAAGCTTGAGATGCAGTTCTTAACATGTACACTACCCTGCAAGCCACACAGATGGAGACTATGTTGACATGTAGGGCTTGAAATACGCAGGGTTCTTTTTTTGCAGAGCGCTTTTATATATGACACTTTGCAAAGGTGCATTCCTTTGCATTCCTTCTGACAATATTGTTGCTTAACACAGAAGTTGCCGTTTGTGCTGTGTGGATGTACAGGTGGGCATGTTGACAAAGTAATCTGCATCAGTGTTCTCTGCTCCCCTCCTCTGTTAACGCAGAGTCATCCATATATACCTTTTCAACAGAAAAGGGTGGGGATATAGTACAGGGTGCCTTTTACGGTTGCCACTCCTGCTGCTCTAGGGTCATTCCACGCCTCGAGTCTGACACTTATTGCCTAAATCCTTTGGTTTCATTCACAAGAAACTTGTTAGACGTTTTTAAAGTACAAAAACAAATGAATCCATTTTTTTCTTGCTGATTCAGAAAGGTCATATTGCATACTGTGGTCAAAACAGCAGCACTGACCACATTACATGTATGGGAAACAAAATAGCTTTGACGATATCATTGCAGAAGTGTTTTACACACAAAAATGAACAAGGGCTCTGAGAGGTACTTTGTTTTTATTAAATAATCAATAAAACTTAATTTTTAAAATAACTTCAGATGACATTGTAACATAATAGGGTACAATTTTAACTATTCTCACGAATGGGTGAGTTATTTCAGGTTCAAAGAGCCCTTAAACCTGTCAAAAAAAGTAATTTTTTTTGGTAAAAAATTTACCTCAAAATCTATTTATTTTATAACCACAAAAAACCCTCCTTATTTTTAAAACATAACACATACATGGTTAGCCCACTCTACAACAAAAGTATGATACACGTGTTAGTTGTGGTTTGCGCACTATGGCTTATTGAACCTACCAGGAATAAAATGAAAAAAATCACTTTGAATGAATTTTTTTGATACCAAAATAAGCCCAATTGGTTGAAAAATAAGTGAAACAGGAGGCTTTTTCTAAACGGACGCAGAAATTGCATTAGCCTAAATCTTGCAAAAATTGAAATTTTCAAAAAATTCTCCTTTTTTTGTAATTGGTCTGAATACAAAGGTTTCATATGAAACTGTCCTTTTACTGAGTTTTTCTAATGTGTAGAGTTGATTGATTATCCGTTTATTTCATTAAATTAAATATCTAGATGGCAGTTCAGTACTTAGTCAACTGAAACCGAACAACTGTCTGGTCTTAGTTCCACCCCTTCTAGACATGTCAATATTAGTTCTTGTCCAAGAAATCTGAGATTGTGCTATTTTTTTTCATGTGGGGAAAGTGACTATGTTGAAGACCATGTATCTGAGAATATATTTATGAACATATACAAGATTCCTCTGTTTTCTTCCTTGCCTTGATAAAGAAATTAGAAGAGAAGAAGAAATGGCTGGATGAAGAGCTAGAGAAAGTTTTGCATCAGCGGCAAGAGTTAAAAAATTTGGAGGAAGATTTAAAGAGAAGAGAAGCTATCATTTCCAAGAAAGAAGTGCTGACACAAGAGAAGAGCCATTTGGAAATTAAAAAACTGAGATCCAGCCAGGTGCCTTATTTTTGTAATAATACTTGCTGCTGTCTAATTGAAGAAGTGTCATGGACGCTCCCCAGCAAAACAAATGCACATGGCAGATAGCTAACTCATTATTGCCAAAGCTGACCACTTACAGTCATTTCTATGGCTCACGCGCACCAGTCTTGCGTGTAGGCAGCTATTCCCAGGTCTGCACTCTATGGAGCAGTTGCAGCAACAAGAGGCCACTTCCCCTCCATCAGTTTATGCATCTTTCCCCAAAAGGCGCCATGCATGCAGCCTAAGACTGCGTGGAAGTTGCTTCTGCTCTTCCCACTTCAATTATCTCCTGGTTCTGGGAGACAGTAGTGCAGGAGACAATGGCGAAGCACCCACTTCACTTGCCTGGCCAGGCTTTGGCTCCTCTTCTTCTGACCTATTCTTCTGACCTACTGCTCTGAAGCTTCCCCTGCCTCCAGCTCTTGCCTCCTGGCTGGTACAGTTCCCCCCAGATCACTGGCCCAGACTGCCATTCCCCTACATCAGGCATCCCCAACCTTAGCCCCCCAGATGTTTTGGGACTACAACTCCCATCATCCGTAGCGAACAGGACCAGTGGTCAGGGTTGATGGGAATTGTAGTCCCAAATCATCTGGAGGGCCGAGATTGGGGTTGCCTGCCCTACATGGTGTTAGTGAAAGCAGCTAGCACTCTGCTGCTATGGTCAAGAGGTTGAGGTTCAGGCAAAATATACATAATTCTCCCCTTCCCTTTTTTTGTAAATTTGGGCTACGCCCATACGGGTTGAGATCTCACATTATGGCTAGCTCAGATCCGGTTTTCAATGTGTGCATTGGTGCAAGGACATTTTACATTTTCTGCCTAATTCCTAAACCACACAAGTGGGCACTTTTTGATGGGGATGAATGTGCTTAGTACATACACACCCTCAATTACCATTTCCCCCCAAAATGGGCAAGTGTGCAGGTATTTCTTTACCAACTCACACACATCTCTCTATATATATGGACACCTCTTTTTATTTGCAATGAAAAGAGAGTCCTGCAGAAGTTTCCCCCTGGATCTGTCACCGGACAGGCAGCTGAGGAAGTCTACCTGCCTGCTTTCCTCCCTCTCTTCCCTGGTGTGCTCTCCTTTCAGTAGGTGATGGCTTTCTAAGAAACCCTTAATGTAACTCAGATGTATTGCAAAGATGCTCCACTTCAGGACCCTTCTGATTAGAGAGAGCTGCAAAACAAATTGAAGGGAAGGAAGATCTCTGAAAATGGAGCAGAGGCAGCTTCCACAAGCAGGAGCTCAGCTCGCTGGGATCGCTCCCTCAGCCCCATCCAGCACAGTCCCCTGACCTTGGGAAGCCATGGGAATCCAGCCCTGTTACATTCAATTACTGTATTTTTTGCTCTATTAGATGCACCGGGCGATTGGACGCACCTAGTTTTTAGGGGAGAAAAACAAGAAATAAGAAAGCAACGCAAAGCATCCTGAGCTAAGAGGGAACTCTCCTCCATCTTCGCTCAGGAGGCTTTGCGGGGCTACCCCTGAAGCCAGGAGAGCAAGCGGGATCGGTGCGCACCGATCCCTCTTGCCCCCCCTGCTTCAGCGAAAGCAAGACTACTGGCTTTCCTCCCGCAAGAGCCGTGCTCTCTGTAAAGGGAGCGCAGCTCTTGGGGGCTTTTCTGGGAGGTGGGGGAAAGAAGGGACAGAGCCGTGTGCTTTGTCCCTTCCCCCACCTCCCACAAAAGCCAGAGATAGCTGCACGAAGCCTTCGCAGGGGAGCGGGGCTCTCCGCTCCCCTGCAGAGGCTTTGCGTGACTAAGCTAGAAGCTAGAACAGCCAGCGGGATCCCACTGGCTGTCCTGACTTCCTCTTTAGCTGCGTGCAGCCTCTCCGGCTGGGAGAGGCTGCGCGCGGCTATGGCAGAAGCCAAGATAGCCAGCGGGATCTATCCCACTCGCTGTCCTGGCTCCTCCTATAGCCGCACACAGCCTCTCCCGGGCAAGGGGAGCCTTCATCCCCTGCCCTGGAGAGGCTGTGCGCGGCTAAGGCTCCCCCAAGAGCCGCGCTCCCTTTAAAGAGGGGCAGCCCTCCTCTCCCTCCTTGGGGAAAGCCCCCAGGAGCCGCACACACGCTCCACACAGCTCTTTAAAGGGAGCGCTGGCAGAGCCTCCCGCCTGCATTCGCTCCATAAGACGCATACACATTTCCCCTTACTTTTTAGGAGGGGAAAAGTGTGTCTTATAGAGTGAAAAACACGGTAGCTCTGGATCCAACCCTATACTGTCAGTGAACTTTGGAAGGAATTGTTAGTTGCTAAAACTTCTGCAAGTGCAGAGTTTCCATAGGCATGATATAGACCATATTCATTGTATTGTTTTGTAATCAAACATTCTCTAATAAAGTGGCTTTTATGTTCTATTTCGGGGAGGAGTTATCCTAAAATAGATTTTGTTTTCAATTGTGGCTTTATAGGCCCTCAATAAAGACAGCTTAAGATTATCGACTCGTCTGAGTATGCTGAATCAGGAGCTGTGTGACAAAAATATGCAGCTGCAGAGCAGCAGCACTGATGAGCAAGAAAGGATTATGGGAGAGATCCAGGCTCTACAAAAGGAAAGGGATCAGCTGTTGAACAGAAGGAATAGTGTGGATGAGAAACTGAAGAATGGCCGGGTGTTGTCACCAGAAGTAAGTAAACTTTCCCATTCAGTTAAGCACAATTATCAACCAATCGGAATGACTCTTTTATATTAATGGTAGCTAAAGAGCTAGTGTTTGGAAATGCTAAAATAGAAATGAACCCCGTTTTTTAAAACACAGTTTAAAAAATAATTGTGAGGATACGTATCTAAATAACACTGAATTCAGCGCATACATACATTGTAGTTAGGTCATTCAACTCAACGAGACTTAATTCTCAGGAAGCATTCAGAGCACTAGGGTGTACTTTAATAGCACAATTTTAGAAGTCTGACACTGAAGTGAACCTACATGAGGAATGGATACTATTACCACTTGTATCTCTGGGCTGATTTTCCTAGTGCTGCAAACATGTAAATAATTTGGGGGCTTTTGACCACAGGTTGGGAGTATGAGAAATCTTATTTCCTGCTGACAATCATATGAAGGATTTTTCACTATATTGCAAAATATCCCAGGGGAAAGCAACCCTATCCAACAGTATTGCCACCACCTCTAAAGCCCCCAAATGTAGAGGCAGGGGAAGCCCAAGTTGTTTCTGGGATCTTTTGGCTCTTGTCTTTGTGAATCCCAACAGTCTGGCCACTGTCTTTTGAGCCCCAAGTCCAGTAGCATATGACCAAGCAGCCATATACCAGATTCAGAGCCAGGCTTACCTCAAGAAGCCACACAAAGAATAAATGAAATATTTTATTGAGGTTACAAACAACAGAATAAGAACACTTTACCAATAAAAGGCACTTGAGGAAGGCTCACCATGTAAATACACTTTTGGGAATTAAAGTACAGAAGAAAATAACAAAGCTACTGGTAGCTTGCCTCACCCTAATCACAGCCATTAAAGCAAGCTGCATCAGGCACATGTGGCTTTTGCAATACATGATCCTTCATCTGATTGAAGGCCACTAGATCCAGGTCAAAAAGATCTGGATATAGAAGGGTATATTTTCCTTTAGCCAATCGGGGTGCAGGGGCATATTTCCCTAGCATTAAAGGGTGTGCATGCTGGAAGACAATGCAGCTACTCTCTGGTTTTCAGCGCAATCATTGTGACCTGGACACAATCTTGCATGGGGCACTCACACATGTGGCAAAATGGACTAATTAATAGAACTTTCCTTCCCCAACAGCCTGCACCCAAATCCTAAGTAAAAACTTTAAACTGAGCCAAAGAACTGGATATTCCTTTACACAGCTTAAACTATATACTGTATTTTTCCATGTAAAAGAAGATGTTTTTTGCTTAAAAAAATTAGCAAAATCTTCTATACGCCATTTAGAAAACATGGTCATATGCATGTTGTTTGCAATGTATTTTGAACGTTGACAAATTTTAATAATATTTCAAAACTTTTCCAATAGCCTTCTGCTGTGAGCCGTAATGATTTGATAATCACTGCTCTCTTGCCAGGAGGAACATGTTTTATTTCAGCTTGAAGAAGGGATTGAAACCTTAGAAGCTGCCATCGCTTACAAGAATGAAAGTATCCAGAATCATCAGGACTCCATCAGAGCCTCCTCTCAAATCCTCACACAGAGTGAGGCCAATGTGATGGGAAAGTTGGTTTCCTTGTCTGCTACAGAGCTGAGAGCAATTCTTTTAAAGTATTTTAATAAGGTTTGTTGTTTGAACAATTTATAACAGAGAAAATCCTGAACATGCTTTCTGTTGGCATAAAATGGCTTCATGGAGAACTTTCTTTTGCTAATTAGTGATCGTTGTGAAGATATTTAATTCTGAACAGGGTGTATTTCATACATACTATATATTCTGAAGCATGGGTAGGAACGTGCAGCCCTTGTTCTCTTTTCATGGGCTGGTTGGTAGGAACCCAGAAGAAGAAAAGTGTGGTAGTGAGAAAGCAATTGAGGGTGGAAGGGGGAAAAGGGAAAGACCTCTGCAAGCGATCAGGTAAAAGCTCAGGCAAGAGTGATGTTGCCCTGCCCTGGCAGCCCAGTGTGAGCGAGGGTGAGAAATAGGGATGTCAGAAAAAAAGAAATGCCACCGTGAACTCTGGCCCTACCCACCACCGGCTGTGGCCCATAACAGATTATCTCTGAGGCAATGTAGCCTTTGAGAGAAGAAAAGGTTCCCCACGCCATCATAAAAGATTACCTTGCAAACTATGAGTGATATCCATTGTGTCATACTCAGAGTAAGGTAAAGGTAAAGGACCCCTGACAGTTTAGTCCAGTCGTGAACGACTCTGGGGTTGCGGCGCTCATCTCACTTTACTAGCCGAGGGAACCGATGTTTGTCCACAGACAGTTTTTCCGGGTCATGTGTCCAGCATGACCAAGCCGCTTCTGGCAAAACCAGAGCAGCGCATGGAAACACCGTTTACCTTCCCGCCAGAGTGGTACCTATTTATCTACTTGCACTTTGACATGCTTTCGAATTGCTAGGTTGGCAGGAGCAAGGACCGAGCAACGGTAAGCTCACCCTGTTGCGGGGATTCAAACCGCTGACCTTCTGATCGGCAAGCCCTAGGCTCAGTGGTTTAGACCACAGCGCCACCCGCGTCCCTACTCAGAGTACACACATTTAAATCTATCAACTTAAGCAGGTCCACTCTGAGAATCACTAACTGTATATTGTCCTCTTGATACATGTAGCATAGCCATAGATAAAGCCCAGTATGTTTTGTTTCTGTTTGTTTTTCTTTTTGGAAGTTTGACAGTTGTGGAATCTATGATAGAGTTAATAAATTATATATGTTTCCTGGGACATTTGGATTGGATGATTAAATTGACTTTCAACTCAAGTATAGGACTCAGAATATCTTATTAGTGAGACTATATAAATGGTGAAAGATGTAATGTATTGGCTTACCATTGTATTTTTTCATACTTGGACTCATTGCAAATATGACCTCCATATTTCATTATTATTTTGAAGTGTGGTTGCCTGATTTCCATGGCCAGGCATGCTTTGATTTGTAAAAAGGAATGGCTGTTTCTTTTTTAGGTTGTCGGTCTCCGTGAGACTGAACGCAAATTGCAACTGCAGGCAGAAGAAATGGGAATGAGGGTAACGGAAAAAGAGAACATAGTAAGAGAACTTGAATCGGCGCTTGAGCACCTCATGCTTCAGTGTGACAGGCGTCTGACCCTCCAACAGAAAGAACATGAGCAAAAGATGCAGTTAATATTGCTTCATTGCAAAGGTATTTTGGCTTTGAGAACTTTGAAGTAACATCTGGTTAATAATGATCGTGGGCAGCAGGATGTCAGTCTGATCCAACAGGATTCTTCTACTGTTCCTAATTTTGAAATTATATCTAGCCACTACTAAAAGTGTAATTCCATCAGAAATGTTCATATGACATGGAATATTTGTATATTTTACAGTCGTATGAAATTACAAATTTCATTTCACTCTCTTGCAATCCAAGGATATCATGTCTAAGAAGCTTACCCACATCCCTACAAATTCCTACCCAGTTTTAGGCAGCCAGACAGTGCCTGGCCCACCAAGCATTGGATTTTATTTTAAGATACAAAACATAATTGTAACAAGCAGAAGTATTGAAAGTAAAATTATCTGGGTTCCCTACCCTATTCTATAAGAATGCAAATGTTCAGATTTGCTTAATATTTCCCCCCACCTTTCAAATAAGTCGCATCTTAAACTTGTTAATGATCATCTTCCTTTGAGCTGAAGTATTAGTATTATAGGGGACGCGGGTGGCGCTGTGGGTAAAAGCCTCAGTGCCTAGGGCTTGCCGATCGAAAGGTCGGCGGTTTGAATCCCCGCGGCGGGGTGCGCTCCCGCTGCTCGGTCCCAGCGCCTGCCAACCTAGCAGTTCGAAAGCACCTCCGGGTGCAAGTAGATAAATAGGGACCGCTTACTAGCGGGAAGGTAAACAGCGTTTCCGTGTGTGGCTCTGGCTCGCCAGAGCAGCAATGTCACGCTGGCCACGTGACCCGGAAGTGTCTCCGGACAGCGCTGGCCCCCGGCCTCTAGAGTGAGATGGGTGCACAACCCTAGAGTCTGTCAAGACTGGCCCGTACGGGCAGGGGTACCTTTACCTTTACTATTAGTATTATGATTATCATTTTCTCTCTCTACAGCTTCAGTTATTTTTCTTTCCTCCATCTCTCCTTCCCTCCCTCCACTGCTAATCTCTTGTTTTCATTGGTAAGAACAATACCTATCTTTCTGCTGCACTTCTACTAGAACGTGATTCTTAGATTTATACATTTAAACATACTGTAGCACGTAACATTTACACTTTGAGACAAATTACAAATGAGATTTAGTATACACTATCCACAACTCTGTTTGTGCTATAATGAAGTTTGAATCTAAACTTTGTTCTGTCTTTCTAGAAGAAGATGGGGAGAGTATTGCAGAAACTTTTAAGACATATGAAACTAAAGTCCAACAACTGGAAAGAGACTTGTTCTTCTATAAGAAAACTAGCCGTGAATTAAAGAAGAAATTAAAGGAACTGGTTGCAGAATCAATACACCATCCTCTGACACAAAGTAAATATTAGAAGTATTGTAATTCTAAAACATACATAGCTGCAATGTAACTCTTACTCAGCTTGGTAGCAAAACTCCTATTAATCACAATGAAGTTGGATTTATTTTAACATTATCAGTATAGAGGATATTTTAGATTTCAGGTCTCTTTAATTTTCTTAATAGGTTTCAGATGCATAAAAAAACATTTTACCCCTTTAACTTTTGCAGACTTCGATCATTATGTTCGTACTCAGAAATGGAGATGAGGGAATACAATTTTCAATGATTTTCCCCATGCTCCCTGATTTCCCCACTATTGGGCGGGGGCCTTCTGCAACAGCTTGAGAGCTGGTGTTGGGGGCTGCAGGGGAAATGGGCAAAAATAATTCCCCCGTTGTTTCCTCCAGCAGGAGCCTCTGCTAAACTACACTTCCTTCCATGAATGCAGCGAGCCCTTCTGTTTTCCAGCAAGGTAGCTAGGGATCTCAGTACAGTGGTGCCCCGCAAGACGAATGCCTCGCAAGACGAAAAACTCGCTAGACGAAAGGGTTTTCCGTTTTTTGAGTTGTTCCGCAAGACGAATTTCCCTATGGGCTTGCTTCGCAAGACGAAACGTCTTGCGAGTTCTTGCGAGTTTGTTTCCTTTTTCTTAAAGCCGCTAAGCTGTTAATAGCCGCTAAGCCGCTAATAGCCGTGCTTCGCAAGACAAAAAAACCGCAAGACGAAGAGACTTGCGGAACGGATTAATTTCATCTTGCGAGGCACCACTGTATATTTTACTCTTTTTATTTTTTTAGCTAGCAGTGTTTTTCATTTATTAATTAGCGCCCTCGGGGGATACTGTAATAACAGCAAACAGCTGAACCAAGTTAGAGTCATAACATTACAAAACAGAACGAACCATAATAGTTCCCTCAAAGCATCTAAGCCAACTGCATTTTTAAAAATATTTCTTTTTAGGTAATTGTTCCAGTGATGGGATACTGAATCGAGAAGAAGTAATTACCTTGTCAGAAGAATTCAAACGGACATCCACACCAACAGGAAAATTAAAAGAAATAAACTCCCCAAGGGGTGATTTAGGAGCACAACAGAATTCATACAGATTTGAAGAGGAAGCTGCAGAACTGGGACCTAACACATCCAGCAGTCACGAAGAGCAAGCAGGAAAAGTACACCAGCCTGCAAAATCTCACCCACAAGTGTGTTGTCCTTCTCAGGCCAGAGAGACTATGACACAGCTTCAAGGAGTAACCCCAGTAAAACTTCCTCGCAAAGAATTGCGCTATATCCCTGCTTCTGAGCTTTCCTCAAGGCGTTCTGGCCTTGCAGTTGGTATAAATTCTGTTCCTGCTGATTCTATTGAAATGCCTAGAAAGTCTGACTATAATATATAATTATCCTTGTAATATTTTGAAAGCAATTACACAGTTCCCTTTATTTCCAGTTTATTTCAGGCAGCTACGATATTTGAGTTATTTCACATTGCGTGTCTCACACTGCTGATCATTTATTGTGCCCCATAGAAATCTGACGCCTTAATAGCAGAGTGATTATATCAGGGGTTGAAACCAAAGGACTTTTTGTCCTTAAAGAATAAATTTTATTTGTACTGATTTTTCCTTCAGAGTAACTGATGGATTTTTATTCCACATCTTCATAAATGCATTCTTCTATACTGCAAAGAATCTTCGGGCTGGTTCACAAAATACCTTTTTAGCTGCATGAGTTATCATGATCATTCTTGAGTGCATATTTATGAAGACAAACAATGTATAAAAGCAACCACAGTTACAGTCTTATTGTATAGCTGTGGGGGGCGGAAATCACATTAGGTTAAATGCTGCTGACTGTATGATTGGTTATTTTTACACATTATTTGTCCATATGAACATGGTGGTGCTGACAGCCTGGAGCACTCACATGGAAAAAAGAAATCTGGTGTGAACCAGCCCATTGTAGTAAAGGTCTTCATAGCTACATCAGCAATACTTGGTTTCCAGTCGAGGCATACTTATGCTGAAGTTTGACAAAGCACTTGTGACTGACCAAAGCCTTGGGTTGTGAATGTCCTTTAAAAACAAAACACGAGTACAGTGTTTCTAAGAAATTAATGTTTTCGCAAGGAAATTTATTTTGCCCAACTCATATTTTAAATGAATATGCCCTCAAGCCCTAATTTCTCTTTCTTATAACTAACTCTGTTGTTATGTGACTTTGAAACTTTCTGTAGGGAGAAAGTTTTTCCCCCCTAATAGAAAAGAAACATTTTTATTGGCTCCAGGGAAATTACTCTCTGCTGTTAGAGCTTGCCAGAGCTATGTCACCTATCACTGAGATTAGATGTAGATGTGCTGTCAGTGAACTAGGGCAATAAAAAGTTACCCTGCTTGGAAGGCACAGCTGTGTATCTCTTAGCGTGAAGTACATGATAAGTTAGAAAACTGCTTTGTCTACTCGACTTGGTGTAGACATAACACTTACTGTGGATAAAGGGACCAGGAGCAGACTTGCATCATATATACTCACTCTTCCTATGATAATTCCCTTGACCCCCGTTTCTCAGTACATAAGGTCATTGTTAGTTCTAGATAAAATGACTCCAGGGGCACTTCTAAATTTTTGTTTTTCTCATTGGTTCCCAAGTTGTTTATTATCTGTGCACAGGACGTGTTTTGTGCACGGAAGGTATTCCAATCCAGCAGATTCTCCAGCTGGCCGAAGATGGGTGACTTCTCCCATATTGTCCCCCGGCCTCCTGCAGTAAATTTGAAAGACACAGAATGGTCAACTAGCAAAAACTGCCTCCACCCCCCTTTCCATTGGCTGGAGCATGCCAAGTGGTAGTCCTTTCATGGGTCCTCTAAAATCTAAGCCAATGTGTGCCTAGTTTCTTAAAAAATAAAAAAATAAAATACAGGATTGTATCAAACTCTGTCCCTCTGCCAACAAATGACACTTTTGATCCAGTAGATGCTTGCATGAGTGGGAGGTCAAAGGTGATTTGGGCAAATTCCCTTATTCCTACTGCTCTCTCATTCTTTCCATGTTGTTCCAGAGGATCCTCTAGCCTTCTGGAGCAGGGTTGGGAGACATAAAAAGGGAGGAAATTATGGCGGTGAGAAGCTCTCCGGACTCTCTCAGCACCTGGATGAAACCTTTACTACTGATCTTTGGGGTAGACTATTGTGCATTAAATATTTGTCATGAGTGTGAATGTTCAGATGTACTTTACAGATAGTTAATTGCCATTTTTGCAAATTTGGGCACATCAATCTTTGCTCTTAAAAATATTGAGTACACGGCACTCTGCTGGAAGAATAGTAAATTCTGGGCCTGCTCTGCCTGCCGAAAATATGACCTGGAGGGGCAGAGAACTCCATTCAAGAGTGTAGGAGATTAATTAATGAAACCCACCTCCTTTTTCCAATGGGAGCCTCCTCTGGATAATAATAATAATAATAATAATAAATTTTATTTATATCCCGCCCTCCCCAGCCGAAGCTGGGCTCAGGGCGGCTAACAACAATCAAATAACCAATAGTTGAATAATCACACATTCTAAAATATTTCATTATAAAAATTAAAAAAAATTAATTAAAATCAGATTGATGGCAACCAAAGTACTGTGCAGGTTGCCGGAGGAGGGGGTCAGGCTGCGCCCTGACCAAAGGCCTGGTGGAACAACTCTGTCTTGCAGGCCCTGCGGAAAGATGTCAGGTCCCGCAGGGCCCTAGTCTCTTGTGACAGAGCATTCCACCAGATTGGAGCCGCAGCCGAGAAGGCCCTGGCTCTAGTTAAGGCCAGCCTAACCTCTCTGAGGCCTGGGACCTTGAGGATGTTTTTATTTACAGACCGTAGGTTTCTCTGTGGGGCATACCAGGAGAGGCGGTCCCGTAGGTACGAGGGTCCTAGGCCGTATAGGGCTTTAAAGGTTAAAACCAGCACCTTAAACTTGATCCTATACTCCACCGGGAGCCAGTGCAGGTGGTATAGCACCGGGTGAATGTGATCTCGCAGCGAGGACCCCGTAAGGAGTCTCGCTGCGGCATTCTGTACCCGCTGGAGTTTCTGGGTCAGTCTCAAGGGCAGCCCCACGTAGAGCGAGTTACAATAATCCAGTCTGGAGGTGACCGTCGCATGGATCACAGTGGCTAGGTCAGGGCGAGAGAGGTAAGGGGCCAACTGCTTAGCTTGGCGGAGATGAAAGAATGCCGCCTTAGTTATAGCTGTAATCTGCGCCTCCATAGAGAGGGAGGTATCGAAGATTACACCCAGACTCTTAACGGACGGTGCTGGCACCAATTGCACCCCCGCAAGAGATGGGAGTTGTCCCCCCGATCCCATATCGTCCCGCCCCAGCCAGAGGACCTCTGTCTTCGCAGGATTTAACTTCAACCGGCTCCCACGTAACCATCCAGCCACAGCTTCCAGGCATCTGGTCAGTGTGTCTGGGGCCGAGTCAGGATGGCCATCCATCAACAGATAGAGTTGGGTGTCATCAGCATATTGATGGCAACCCAGCCCAAAACTCCGGACAAGCTGGGCGAGGGGGCGCATAAAGATGTTAAAAAGCATCGGGGAGAGAATCGCACCCTGAGGCACTCCACACACCAAGGAGTGGCGCGATGACAATTCCCCCCCAAGCGCCACCCTCTGTCCCCGACCAGAGAGAAACGAGTGCAGCCATTGAAGGACTGCGCCCTGGATCCCCACGTCGGCAAGGCGGTGGTCCAGGAGTTCATGATCGACCATGTCAAAGGCTGCTGACAGATCTAGAAGAATCAGCAGCCCCGACCCACCTCGATCCAGCTGCCTGCGGAGATCATCTGTTAGGGCGACCAGAGCCGTCTCGGTCCCATGACCAGTGCGGAAGCCGGACTGGAATGGATCCAGAGCAGATGTTTCATCCAGAAACCTACCAAGCTGTTCAGCAACCGCTCTCTCAATCACCTTACCCAGGAATGGAAGATTCGAGACCGGGCGGTAATTGGATAGATCTGAGGGATCTAATGATGTTTTCTTTAAGAGCGGACGCACCACCGCCTCCTTCAGTTCCCCTGGGAATGTCCCGGTGCCTAGGGACAGATTGATGATATCCCCCAGGGGGGCCCGCACCTCGTCTGGACACGCTCTAATCAGCCAGGACGGGCACGGGTCGAGAGGACAAGTGGTGGGCTTTCCAGCTCGGAGGAGTCTGTCCACATCGGCTGGGGATATCCGGTCAAAGTGGTCCAATACTGGACCCGAGGACAGTCGAGGGGCCTCCAGTTCCTTTATTGTATCCAAATTGGCGGGGAGGTCATGGCGGAGCAACAGGACCTTCTCCGCAAAAAAGCTCGCAAATGCCTCACAGCTGTGTGTCCAATTGTTATTTAAATTTGGCTGTCCTTCGAGGGACGTTAAAGATCGAATTATACTAAATAATTGCGCCGGGCGAGAGCTAGCGGATGCAATGGAGGCCGAGAAGTAGGACTTCTTAGCGGCCTTCACTGCCATCTCATAGGTTTTCATAAAAACTCTATAGGATGTTCTTGAAGCTCCGTCACGGGCACCCCGCCATACTCGCTCTAGCCGTCTGAGGTCCCGCTTCATATTCCGGAGCTCCTCGGTAAACCAGGGAGCCCGGTTTCTGCGGGGACGCAGAGGGCGCTTAGGTGCGATCTCATTGATGGCTGCCAGGAGCTGGGTATTCCAGCCCTCAACAAGCTCAGTCAATGAGTCGCCAGGGGGAGCAAGGTCCCGCAAGGCTTGACGGAATCTATCAGGGTCCATCAGCCTCCGCGGGCGAGCCCAAATCGGCTCGCCACCCAAGCAGGGAGGGGGTGGAACGTCAATCCTGGCTTTCAGAGCGTAGTGATCAGACCATGGCACCTTCATCGAAGGGAACATGATCACATCTATACCGACGCCAAAGATCAAATCCAGCGTGTGGCCTGCTTGATGTGTGGGGCCCGAAACAAACTGGGAGAGCCCTAGTGTCGCCATGGAAGACACCAGGTCCGGAGCCTGTGAGGAGGGAGTGGCATCAGCATGGATGTTGAAGTCCCCCAATACCAATAGGTTAGGGAACTCCAAGGCCCAGCCGGCCACCGCCTCCAGCAGGCCTGACAGGGTGGCTGCTGGTGCGCTAGGTGGCCGGTACACCAGCCAGACAGCCAAGCTCACCTCGGAGCCCCACACTAGGCCAACACATTCAATGCCAGGGATCGATGGCGATGGTAGAGCCCTGAAAGAACAATCTTCCCGGATTAATAATGCCACCCCTCCCCCCCGGCCCACAGTCCGCGACTGGTGGAGGACGGAGAAACCCGGGGGCGCCATCTCTCGTAAGGTAACAGTAACCCCTTCGCGCACCCAGGTCTCCGTCACACAGGCCAGGTCGGCCCCCTGCGAGATGAAGAAATCTCGCAGGGTGGCGGTTTTGTTGCCTATAGACCTGGCATTGCACAACACCAGTGACGGAGGTGAGTAATCCTTGCTCACCCTACCCTCGTCTCTCGGGATGGGGCGCAGATTGGAAGGGGTACGAGCATATCCGTATCTCGATCCCCTTCGCCTATAACATCTGCCCCCACCGCCATGCCTCCCTCGCCCCTCCACGGTAGGGATCCCAGGCCTCATATTCACCTCCATGATATTCCAGCTAAGTATTGGTAGTGTCGGGGCCTTGTGCTGTCCCGGTAGTTGTCACTTTGAGTTGTTTAATGGGTTCTTGGAGGTAGAACGAGGACCCATAAGGAAATCGGTAATTTTAGTTTGTGCGGATAGGGTCTTCTTCTGTGTTGATTGACTCCATGATTTGGTAGCATTAACAGGCAGGAAGGGTTTTGCCGGGGAGGCAGAATTAGGCAAAGTTGGTGAAGTCGAATGCTGTTCGTTAAGGTGAGTAGTAGCAAGTCTTTGATGGGCTATACTAGTAGATCCGTCAGAGTTGTCAGTCTTAACCAGGGTAGCACTAAGAGGTGTTCCAGTCATCACTTGTAGTTGCTGCGCCGATGGGGAAGAGTTATCACGCAGATGTATAGAAGGACAAGAACGTGGGGATGGTGCCTGCGTGGTCATTTCCTGGTGATCTTCAGGCAGGGTAGATTCTAGCTCAGGCATTGAGGCAAAGGAATCATCAGCTTTGGGATTGGACATCAGGTCTGAAACGGGAGTATTGAGTTTATCGACTTCCTCCACGATAGAATGGTGCTGTTGGTCAACAGGTGACTGCTGATTCAGATCAATAGGGGATGACAAAGTAACAGGTTGAGAGATTATCAAGGCATTTGATGGAGACGCCTTGTGGGACGTGGAGCGCCTGCTCTCCTCTCTCATCGGCATAGAGGGGTCCCCTTGCGATAAGAGTCTTTGTTTGAGTAGATCCAATCTATCGAGAATAGTCTGCTGTTCTTCTGAAGGGAGTTTTCCATAAGAGGAAATAAGATTACTCTCTTCAGGGATATTCCAATCTCCACTCGCAATTGGATCATTTCTCTGCGTAACTAGATGGGCACTTGGGGTCGCAGGTGGAACAGGGGGTACCCGGCTAGGTGTTTTTCCCTTTATTATAGGGACAGAGGAAGGAAACGGGCGTTCATTTCCGGTTAAAATGTTGGGAAAAAGAGGTTTAACACTCGTGTCCTTAAAGACTCTTGTTGTTACAATCTCCCAGGGTGCCAGCCGAACTTTTTGTCTTGCAAGAAGATGTGGGATCCTTGCAGACTGGAAGGAGAGCATAAATTTCCTTGGCCAAGGCGTGGCATTTAGGGTTACTACAGATATAAGATCTATCTGGGAGAAAGGAATATTTAGCAAATCACGTAGGTACCCTTTAGCCATCATCAGGTTATTCCACCTAAGTCTGGGGGCGTCACGGGAGAAAATGGATAGACATATTTTATTGGGTTGAAGAATCAAGGATTGCTTATTCCTTTGGGGCAGTGGCAGCCTGCATCTTGAGCCCTTAAGGAGAGATTTCTGGTCATGTTGTCTCTTTAAGGCACTCACAAGCTGCACAGGGGATTGGTGCAAATTAGGTAGCACAGTTGGGGAAGATAGATGAGCCAGAAAGGCCCGTGTAAGTTTATTCAATGACAGAGAAATCCCCTCCAATTCCTTGAAAATGAAGCTTAAAGTCCTGATTACCAGTTGTATTTGATCAGGTACTAATTCATGGGCAGATTGTCCTAATGCTTCCCGTTTCATTGATGGAGGTGTAATTAAGGTGTCAGAAAGGAGGGCTTCCCTATGGCTTCCATCCTCCGCTGGATCAGCTGGCTTTTCCAACTCTCCTTGATCATGCAGAGGCCAGAAGTGGTTGTATGTTTCAACTGCAGAAACAATTACTTGCTCCGTTTTGCTGATATTGTCAGAAGATGGTGGGGGAGATTCAAGCTTTGGCTGCTTTACTCTTGAAGGTGAACAACCTTTCTCAGCAGACCTTGGTCGCTTGCCATGACCCATTTGTCGCTGTCTCACTAACTAGGAGGTTCAAAGTAGAGGTAAACGGAGATAAAAGAGAACTTATCTTTGTGGACGCAACTCTCTGCTACTCCTCCTCCACTGCTCAACATAAACCAGTCTTCAAGGCGGCGTTGCTAATCAGCTGCAGGCTTTCTCAGCAGAAGATTAGAGAAGATTAGAGTATCCTTGTTGATACGTATATTGGCCCCGACAGACCAACCGTAGAAGTAAAACGAATTAAAAACTTCCAACAATGGTAAGATAATTTAAAAGTCTAATAAAAACAGCTATAAAGATGGCTGTAAAAGGCTATAAAAGGCAATAAAAGGTTTGTAATCTGGAGGGTTCACGAAGGAGAAGTTGTTGCAGCCGCCATCTTCTTTGGCTCCTCCCTCCTGCTAAGAGATCCACTCTCTGTGCATGCACAGATCCAGCCCATTGCTTTGAATTATTTATTTCATTAAAAAAAAACCTGGGTAATATCTTATACAGTTGCTATCCGCTTGTAGGCATCATTAACTTCCAGTAGTGATTCTTAAGAAGAAACCTTTCTGGTCAGGATATCAGGATATCATGTTTTAAGATAAGCTGTGAACATGCTAAAAACCATAGTTCATCCTACTCTGTGTCAGTGTGTCCAACTGCTTTATTTGTAAACTAAAATATTTTACAATTTCTCAAGACGGAAATAATTGTTTTAATTGCATTTGTTATTTGTTGCTTTGTTGAATCGTGATTTGAGTTTTGCAAAGGGGTGTGGTCTTAAGTTCAAATATTTCACTCTCTTAAAATGTACTTATACAACCCAAATACAAACATTCTAAAACACAAAATGAAGTACAGTAAATGGTTCCTACAGTATGCAACTTCTTTAAAAAGATGCAGCAAAGGGGGCTGTGTGGGGTCAGTTCACAACATCACAAAGCTAATCAGCACAGTGAACAGCTGCTGTAAATGTATGGAGCTTTCTTTTTTCTTTTTAACCCTTAGCTTGATGCTGGAGAGGAAATGGTGCCGAGAACCTTTCAGCATGGTTCCACTGTTGAAACAGTATTATCAACTAATTGCTATAAATTACAAATGTCTTAGCTTTCATAACACATACCCATATACTAAATTAATAATCATCTTTTAAAGCATGGGTTTCCAACATGGACACTAGGGCTTGCTTGAGGTCTTCCATGGGTGTCCATTCCTTAAAGCCTCTTATGTGCTTTTCAAGGTTCATTATTAATTTTCTTGACTCTGACTTTTACACAGCAAGGTGTGTCCGTGGGTGGGTGTTCTCCGTCTCAGGAGCAGGGATAGTAACTTTAAAGGTGTTTTAATCTTCTCACTGCTTAGGGCAACCAATGTGGACACCACCACCTGTTCAGAAAATGTCTTAAGTCATTGCAGCGCACAAGTAGGCATGTCTAAATTGATTTCAGAGATGTAAAGCAGCACTATCGGCCTAATAAAGTTTGCTTTTTAATTTAGCCCCCGTGTGTATGTGTGTGTGTGTGTCTGTATCTGTACAGTGGTACCTCTGGTTACGTACTTAATTTGTTCCGGAGGTCCGTTCTTAACCTGAAGCACCACTTTAGCTAATGGGGCCTCCCGCTGCTGCTGCTGCGCCGCCAGAGCACGATTTCTGTTCTCATCCTGAAGCAAAGTTCTTAACCCGAGGTACTATTTCTGGGTTAGAGGAGTCTGTAACCTGAAGTGTTTGTAACCTGAAGCATATGTAACCCGAGGTACCACTGTATCTACCTACCTACCTATTGTTGTTTAATCGTGTCTGACTCTTTGTGACCCCATGGATCAGAGCACGCCAGGCACTCCTGTCTTCACCTATCAAAAAGGTAAAAGAACCCCTGACCATTAGGTCCAGTCGTGGCCGACTCTGGGGTTGCGGCGCTCATCTCGCTTTATTGGCCGAGGGAGCCGGCGTACAGCTTCCGGGTCATGTGGCCAGCATGACTAAGCCGCTTCTGGCGAACCAGAGCAGCGCACGGAAACGCCGTTTACCTTCCCGCCTTAGTGGTACCTATTTATCTACTTGCACTTTGACATGCTTTCGAACTGCTAGGTTGGCAGGAGGTATAGGTATAAGTAGATACATAGATAGATACTGTATAGATACACACACACACACACACACACACACACATATATATACTGTATTTCTTTCCGGAGAGCGCCACTAACTCTGATTTTAAAGAAATAAATGTAAAAGAGCACATATTAAAATGATAAAACCACAAGTGCGCAGTCAACGCCAATAGCAGAACGTCAACCACGTGTTTCCCCAAAAGCGCAACGGAACAGAACCGTTTTGACCCCGGGGGACGGGACCTTCCTCCGCCCACCCACGGAGCGCACTTAACTGCGGGGGGGGGGCGCAAAGAGAAAGCGGCGCCGGCGGCAGCGGACCTGAGGGAGACCCAGCAGAGACTGCGGGGGTTTGGGGAGGGGGGCGTCGCCCGCCCCGCCCGCGGCGACCACGTCAGACGTCACAAACCCGCTTTGTTGCGCATGCGCCCCCGCCCCTTCTCCCCTCCCTCCGCGTCGCCCCCCCACCCTCGAGCGAAGCGGCCCGAGACATAAACAAACTCCGCGAGCGAGTCCGGCGCGGGAGCCTCTCCTTCCGCCTCCCTCCGCGCGACCTCCGCCCCGAACCGTTTCCCGAACCGCCGCCGCCGGTTTCCCTCAGCCCCTCCGCCCTCCGTGAGGCGGCCTCCGTGGCCCCTCGCTCTCCGCACCCCTCGGGGCCGCCATCTCTCTCTCTCGCTCCCGCCGAGACGGGGCCTCGTCGGAGGGGGACCCGGAGCCTTGCCTGTCCCCTTCCAGCCCCTCAGAGGAGGCGGCTGCCCGGCTTCAGCAAGACGCCCTCCGCGGTGGGTGGCGCCCAACGGTTTGCCTTTGGGGGTTCAATTATTATTATTATTATTAGGGGGTTCAATTATTATTAGGGGGTTCTATTATTAGGGGGCTAAATTATTATTATTATTAGGGGGTTCAATTATTATTATTAGGGGGTTCAATTATTATTAGGGAGTTCAATTATTATTATTATTAGGGGGTTCAATTATTATTATTAGGGGGTTCAATTATTATTATTATTATTAGGGGGTTCAATTATTATTATTATTATTAGGGGGTTCAATTATTATTATTATTATTAGGGGGTTCAATTATTATTATTATTATTAGGGGGTTCAATTATTATTATTATTATTATTAGGGGGTTCAATTATTATTCAGACTAGTTTTTAACGTGTGACATTTTTATGTATTTTTAATCCCCGTTGGAAGCCGCCCAGGGTGGGCGGGGTACAAATAATAAATTATATTATTAAAATTATTATTATTATTCAAACTGGGGGTGGGGGCGGCATGCTGCCCTCTGGGGAGACTTTCTGCTGAAACGAAAGAGCGGGGAGAGGGGCTAAAGGTGTAAGCTCACCCCACAATTTCTGATCATCACCTTAGCTTTCATTCATGTGCTTTTTTATTTTTACAGGGTCTTCTCCAAAAAGTAGGGGGAGGGGGGTTTACTGCTGGGCCTGTTCATCTTGGGGTGTCTCTCAAGTCACCCCTTTCTCGAAGGCAGAACCCAGAACTGGGCAGGATATATGGCATTTCAGGAGCGCCAACCTCCACCCAGTGTCAACTCGTTTATGTGGGGCAGAATTAGAAAATGGGTCCCCAAACATGAGAACTTTAAAGCTTTAGCTGGGGTCGTGCCCCTGTTGATATCGGATAAAACTGCAGAAAGCTATTGGCATTGGCAAGTGTATGAATGATCTTTTTAAATGACATGTTTTGTTGAGAATGTGCAGTTGTCTGAGCTTTGCAGGACTGTTCTTTAGGTATATACCGTATATATATATAAGTAATTTATAAGTAATAGTTTAACGGCATGTCTTGCCATGTTTAAAGGTAAAGGTAAAGGTACCCCTGCCCGTACGGGCCAGTCTTGCCAGACTCTAGGGTTGTGCGCTCATCTCACTCTATAGGCCGGGAGCCAGTGCTGTCCGCAGACACTTCCGGGTCACGTGGCCAGCGTGACATTGCTGCTCTGACGAGCCAGAGCCGCACACGGAAACACCGTTTACCTTCCCGCTAGTAAGCGGTCCCTATTTATCTACTTGCACCCGGGGGTGCTTTCGAACTGCTAGGTTGGCAGGCGCTGGGACCGAACGACAGGAGCGCACCCCGCCGCAGGGATTCGAACCGCCGACCTTTCGATCTGCAAGTCCTAGGTGCTGAGGCTTTAACCCACAGCGCCACCTGCGTCCCTTCTTGCCATGTTTACAGACACGTAAAGCATACGTATTCATTTTCATATATTTATCGTTCCGAAATTGTGTTTATTTAATCCATTTTATAGAGCAGTGTCTGCTCAGTACATTAATGGGACATTCCCAGGCTACTGCAAATAAGATTGCAACCTATTTAGCATCACAGAAGGCAATTTCATCCACTTTCTAAAACATTTTGTGAAAACCTTGATTCTCATAAGTACACGCCTAAAAGCAGAAGATGGAAAGTCTGTTTTAAGAAGATCTCTGTACCTTTTGAAAAAACTTGCACCTTGTTCAGAAAACATCAACATGGAATATTAGCATTGTAGATTTTGATCCATAGTTTCTTGTTAGATAGTATTATTTGGGCCTTCTTGCTTGTGGAAGAAGAGACACCCTTATCATATTGAATTCTTTAGAAAGCAGAGAAGATGCCTCATGCTTATTCCTCTTGATTAAAAGATCTATTAGTTCTGTCTTTGAACCTTGGAGTTTCCAGCAGTGGTGCAGCAAGATCCACTATAAACATTTCATCTGATACTTTTTCACAGTTACACTTCCATGAAATTATATAGCTCTTTTTGTTCAAAACATGTTCCTTTGATGGGAACCATAGTTCCACAGACTCCTAAACTTAATCCTTAAGAGTACATGATACTTTCTTAGAAAATCCTTGTTAATCTTCTTCTGAAGACTATGCTTGTGTGCCACTGTTTTCAAAAGATCAATGAGCTTCCCATTTGCAATCCTACATAGGAATAAAATGACAGCTACATTGTCAGTAATAGTTCCTATTGGTGACCTTTCTGTCATCTGAAGTGTTTAATAAGCACAAAGTTTAAGAGAGTGAATAACAGTATTTATTTAGTATTTATTTATCTATTTTCCAAAAAACCCCTATAGTATTAAGTTTTTTTTTGCTTTATTTTTATCACCATTCTTTATATTTTGCACAGAAAGTAGGAGTATAAATTAGTCATCCAAAGCTGCTACAATAAATTCAACAAAAACTACCAATTAAAAATATCTGAAGAAGTGTGCATGCACACAAAAGCTTATACCCAGAACTAACTTAATAGGTCTCTAAGGTGCTACTGGACAATTTTTAAAATTAATTTATTTATTTCAATTAAAAATAGTTATTAAAGAAGTACTTTGGGGCTGCAATTCCTCATTCATTAAAAGTATTTCTGCTTTCTTGCAAAAATTATTACCCTGTCCCTTGAACAACTTATTCAGGGTGTTGTCCAAAAAGGGGCCAGCTATTTCTGGGCCTATTAATCTTGGGCATGCTCTCAGTCACCACATTGATTAATGCACCTAGAGCTTAACGGGATATGGTATTTCTAGGTTACATAACTCTGCAAAATGGGGGAAAAAACTTATCAAACCTGATTCAGAAAAATGTGGTAGTTTTGTTTGTGAGGTCTTTTGGTTACTATATAAAACTCTGTAATCCATTTTTTAAAAAGTGATTTAATGTACCAGTTCTTTTATAGTAAAATTGTGGATCTTTTTTCTTCCCCCACCCCATCCTTATATCGCTGTTACTTATCCAGGTCGCTTCTTGAAACAGCGGCTTGCTTCTAGACGCCTCCAAAGTTAAAATGGCCTCTGCAGTTATTAGTTCGGTTCCTACTACTGCATCACGGTTTGCTCTTTTGCAAGTTGATAGTGGCAGTGGATCCGATTCAGAATCTGGAAAGGGAAGAAACAGTCGAAATGGTGGAAAGTCCCAAGCTTCAGGCAGCAAGTCAACCACAAATGAAAAGAAAAAAGAAAAGAGAAGAAAAAAGAAGGAACAGCAGCAGAGTGAAGCCAATGAGGTGGTGTGACTGTTATGTTTCAATACTTAATTGGGCCAGGTATCCACATATATGCAAAGGAAAAGTCAAAAAGTGAGGGATCAAGAATTAAGTATACTTGAGATATGGTTAGAAGTGGGAAGGTGTTTATGATCAGGTGAATCCTAAACACTTTTCTTTCAAAACTAGAATGGCATCCTAATCCAAAATGTTTATCTTTGGAAGGAGATGTTTCTGAAGAAATCTGCCCTAAGGTAGGGCAGATGTTCGAGTGCTTGTTTTCGTTAATGTAGGTGTCTAGGTTCATAGCATATATTGGTGCATATGGTTCAGATAGTTTTAAAAAAAAATATTTTTGTGGGCGACAATGCCTATATACAAATTTTATTGAGTAGTATTAAGTGTTAATGTTTTCAAAAAAATACTAAATTAGTAGTACTCCTAGAACATACTATGAATTATTTTGAACTTCCTATCTTACTATATTGTAGCTACTCATGATATTTGTAATGCATCTGTTGCTGTGGAATTCATGTCAGGTTATATCCAATTGTGCTAGCGAAAGCACTTCAGGCAGCGCACCTGATTTTCACTGGTTGCCCCTGAAGGTTATGGGACCATGTGGAACAGTGGGATATGGCACAGAGGACTGGAATTGATGGGAAGAGTTTGTGGCAATGGGGCACCTCACTTTACCTTTACCGTTACATTAAGAGAAGCACTTCAGCTTACATAAAGCCACCATTGGCTACAACCCACCATTATTTATATTGTAAAATACCGTACTTTTATTCCTATTTTCAGAGAAAACTAGTCTCCCATAGTATCATATCATTCAATAATTCAGTATAGTTCTGGTGGTAGGTGCAATACATAAATGAAAAAGAGATACAGACCCTGCATTTGTGCTTACTAATTACAAGGGGAAAGGGAAAGGTGGGGGGGGGTCAGTTTGAGAATGCTGGAATGATGTGGTGAATTGTATATTTACACTTAGTTTGGGCCCAGCTGATCTTTCCTTGTTCCTCTGGCCATTTGTCCACAGGGAACCTAACGTGTGTTTATTGTTCTAGCCAGTTTAGACCACCAACATTATGTGAGGGTTTCTTCTTAATCAAATCACCAGAATAATGTAAGGCACTTCAGAGCAAACCTACACTGAGGTTTCACAGTGTTTGGTACACAGTGTTTGTCACGGTGTTTGATACTTTATAAAAATATTTATTTATGTTCATTGTTTTTATAGCTCAGAAATCTCGCTTTTAAGAAAATCCCTCAGAAAAGTTCCCATGGAGCTTCTTTGTCTCAGCATGAGCAAGCATTAAATAATTCAGCAAGGAAAGATTCTCAGGAAGAGAACTGGCAAGAGTGGAGACAAAGAGATGAACAGGTAATTCATCAAATATGTTATTTTAAAGTTTTAAGTGTTTGTGATTCTTCATTTTAACCGCTGCACCTGCTTTGTATGCAATAGCATTGGCAGGCATTTGGGTCAGGTTTGAAAGAAAGCTCTATTAAACACAATAGGACTTAATTCTGCATAAACGTGCAAATGATCAGGCTAATACTTTCAGCAATCATGAGCGCGTGTTCTGAGAAAAAAGTTACATTTAGTTCATTGAGATTTATTCTCTAGTCAAGGTGCCAAATAATATCATTTGCTAGCCACCCCTTCACCCTTTGGTTCCTGGTAGGTTAAAACAATTAAAACACAATGCTAAAAGCAGTTTAAAACAACCAACAATCAAATAAGGTGGATCCTAAAAATATACATCTCTAGTGTCAAAAGAGGTGTGTCCTCAGCAATTTCCAGAAGCTATATAATGAAGATGCTAGATCTTTTGGGGAGGGAGTGACTGATAAGTAACTGACATATGATACTAAGAGGGTGGTGTACGTAAAACCCTGCCACATGGTACACTTTTTCATCTTGTTTCTTCAGTTGACTTCTGAAATGTTTGAAGCCGATCTTGAAAAAGCTTTACTTCTCAGCAAACTGGAATATGAAGAACACAAAAAGGTATTCCCTTCTCTAAGTATGATTAAAACACAAATACAGTGGTACCTCCGGTTGCGGACAGGATCTGTTCCGGAGCTCCAGTCAGATCCTGAGGTTTCCGCAACTGGAGGGACCGCTTCTGCGCATGCGCGCATGGTGGTAGACCACTTTTGCGCAGGCGCGTGCAGCGAAACCCCAGAAAATACTTCTGGGTTTGCCGCGTTCGCATCTTGAAGGATACCCAACTGTAGGTATGCATATCCAGAAGTACCACTGTATTAACAGTGCACTTTTTTGAGCCTATGTACAGTTGTAGGTTTTTTTGCTAGATTCAGTTGAGTTAATAGCAGATCAAGAAAATATTGCCTATGGTAATAGTAGTGGTGAAAACAGAATTATATCTTATGTAGTTTTGTGTACAATGCTGGATGTGTGATTTACTTGTTTAGAGAGCCAGTTGCATAGACACAGGTTCAAAATACTAAGCAAGAGACTAAAATGCTTTATATTGTTTCAAAATATTTCTTTGCGTAACTTGTTTTCCCTTTGGCAGTGTTTAACCATAATGTTCTATGATTTAGCCTCTCAAATTAAAGACAGATGTATAAGGTGTCCCCCCCCCCTTTACAGGAATATGAAACTGTTGAAAGTGCTTCTCCTCCATCAAAAGCTGTGCACAAGAAAGAGAAAAGAAAAAATCAGCAGGGAAAAGACAAACCTCTCACTGTGTCTTTAAAAGATTTCCAGTCTGATACTAACATTGGTAAGTTTTTAGTGCTAAATGTTTCGTAGAATCATTAGGTCTGTTAAAGAGTCACAAGATGTAGACACCTGTCAGGTTAGGAATTCAGATTCAGGATTCAGACTTCACTTCCATCGGCAACAATGTGAGTGGGGGGACTTTTGCCAATTCCCCCTTTGTACCCTCAAATATGTTCCAGAGTATTGGGGGATTAATTGAAACAATCTGAGAAGTGTTTGTGTCCTGAGGGTGGGTGGAGAATTGGCAAAATATGCTTCTTCCCCTTTGATTAGTGAGATCTCTGCTTAATCAGAAGTCTCCCGTGGACAGAATGCCTGTAGAAAGACCTAAAGTCTTAATGAAACTTTGCACTGCTTTGATCTTTTATGTTTAAATACTGCTGAGAGAAGGATATAGTAGAATTAGCATAGTTGGACTCTCTCCTTCTATTCCCCAGAAAAGGTGGTCCAGCAGGACAGCTAAAGCAGTTTTAGTTTTAACACCAAAAACTACTTTGAAGGATCTCTAAATTGATTTCATCCCAGAAAACCAGAGGCCATTTTGCAAATCACACACTTCATCACACTTTGTGGCAAATTTGATACTGAGTTGCAGTAGTTTAGTTTTGGTGGATCAAGTGGTGCTTTGTTACTAGATTTATAAATCTGGCAAAACAGAATACAAGGAATTTAAAGTACAAATGAAAATGTTAGCTTAGACTTAGAGAATCTTATTTTGTAATTTAGCAGAGTATGGCACTGAAATATTCTTGGATAATCAGTTTTAGGGTTTTGTCCACAAATTAAATTTAATCTGTAATTTACATTTTCATGTTGTTTCAGATCACCTTCCCAAAAAGCAGGAGGTAAGTAAGTACCTGATCAAACAAAAATAATGCTTGAAGTATCTAATGAGTGAATTCTTTAAATGGCACCGTTAATTTTTCCACTTTCTTGGCAAGCATTAGGGCATGCTCTGTTCTAAATAAGTCACATGAAAATAATGTTTGTGGTTCTGTTGGGGAGACTTAAGTGAACAGCAGGAATCTAGATATTGTGAAAAAAATGTTTATGAAAGATTGTGCTATTAAATTAACATTTCAGCACAAGTTTTTTAAAGATTTCTCAGTGAATAATTTCTGTGGCTGCACCAAATTTTTTGCACTATATATTTTTAACAAGGAAAGTGGGCTCTTGAAAGTTCAAAATGGTCCCTTGAGAAACCTAATCAGTTCTTATTAGCTGTCTCTCTTGTACCTGTTCACAGCCTGATCTTTGGTTGTTTAGTTGCTGTAATTTTTTGTTTCTAGCTTCTCTTTTGGCTTTTTTCTGAATGACTATGTGATCTCAGCTAATCATGGTCCAGGTAGTGAATGTGATGACATCATAGTACGCAGCAGTCGGTCTAAGTGTACTACATGATGACATCACTTTGGGCAAATTAAGCCTTGGCTTTACCCTCAAACTGAATGATGCAACACTTTCTTGCTGTGCTGGGAAGGCAAAGAATGAAAGCATTGTAGCAAGAGAATGGTTACTTGGTTGTTTCTGAAAGACACGAATGTATTCCATGTCTTGCTGCATTACAAGGCCAGCAAATTTAGAATGTGATTAAAATAGTATCTAAGCATTATTAAAATAATGCTAAGTTTTTGCCTGATGCAATTACCAAGACCTATTGTAAGGATGAAGGGCATTTAGAAAAAAATGTATTATTGTAAATTGCTTTAAAGCTGAAATTTCATATTTAGATTGGGATTTCATATATAAGCCTTAGAGTAATTACTTATTGTTAAGTTGCTGAATTGTTTTACTAGAGATTAATTATAGTTTCTTGGCAGGAATTGAGCTCTTCACATACTGTCTTGCATGATGGTGAATTCTTCAATAGACTGGAAGACGATGTGCACAAAATAATTACTAGGGAGAAAAGAAGAGAGCATATCACAGATAATGGAATGGATAACAGTACATCACGTGATCCCACACATGTATGTTAAATGTGTTAAATTCCTGAAAGTATACTATACTGATTATAATAGAGGAGGTGAAATTGAGTAGCTGCTTAAAAGTGCATATAGGTATGAAAAGGCCACTAAATTTCCTCCTTTGAGAAATATCTGACAAGGAAACTGTAAGAACGGGTGCCTTAGTTTCTCTATTTTACTCTTCCATTTTTCATTTTGTGTAGTGCCTTTGGATTGTAAGCCTCTGGCACAGATTGCCTTGTTTTTACTTTTTTATTCATCTTTTTGGCTGAAGAGTCGAGTAAAAGTGGTTTAAATAATGTGTGCCACAGGGATTGGTGTGTTTGTTCACCTGCCCTAGGAATGGAGAACCTGTGGCTCACCAGGTGTTGCTGAGATACAGCTCCCATCATCCCTGGCCATTCATTGCCCATGCTTTCCAGGACTGATAATAGAAGCATGAAATTGTAGAGTTGGAAGGGACCCTGAAGGCCATCTAGCCCAATCCCCAGGAATACAAGAATCTCAACTAAAGCATCCATGGCAGATGGCCATCCAACCTCTGTTTAGAAACCTCCCTTTCACAGTAGTCCATTCCAGCGTCGCACAGCTCTTAACATCAAAGTTCTTCCTAATATTTAGTTGGACTCTCCTTTCCTGTAACTTGAAGCCATTGGTTCAGGTCCTTCTCTCTGGAGCAGGAGAAAAGAAGCTTGCTCCATCCTCCACGGGGCAGCCCTTTAGAGATTTGAAGATGGCTATCTCCTCGCTAGGCTAAACATACCCAACTTCCTCAGCCGTTCCATATAAGGCTTGGTTTCCAGACCATTGATCATTTTGGTCACCCTCCTCTGCACACATTCCAGCTTGTCAATACCCTTCTTGAACTGTGGCACTAAGATCTAGACACACTATTCCAGGTGTGGTCTGACCAAGGCTGAATAGAGTGGTATTATTACTTCCCTTGATCTGGACACTATTCTTCTGTTGATGCAGCCTAGAATAGCATTAGCTTTTCTCGCTGCTGCATCACACTGTTGACTCATGTTAAGCTTGTGATCTGCTAAGACCCTTAAATCCTTTTCACATGTATTACTGGCAAGCCAGGTGTCTCCTGTGCAACTGGTTATTCCTGTCTAAGTACAATACATTTGTCCCTATTGAAATTTATTTTGTTAGTTTGGGCCCAGTTCTCCAATCCGTTAATGTCATCTTGAATCCTGATTCTGTCTTCTGTAGCATTGGTTACCCCTGCCAGTTTGGTGTCATCTGCAGATTTGACGAACATCCCCTCAATTCCTACGGCACCCCACTTGTCTTTTCTCCCCCAGGGTGACAAGGAACCATTAATGAGTACCCTTTCAGTCAGTCAACCAGCTACAAATCCACTTCACATTTACCTCATCCAGCCCACATTTTACCAGTTTCTGCACAAGAATATCATGGGGGACGTTATCAAAAGTGTTACTGAAATCAAGATATATTACATCCACAGCATCCCCCTGATCCGCTAAGCTTGTACAATAACTTGGTCAAAAAAAGAAATTGGATTTCAACAGGCATTGCTTGTTTTGAGAAACCCAGGCTAGGTCTTAGTAATCACAGCATCCTTTTCTAAGTATCCCAATATTATCTGTTTAATTATATGTTCTAGGACCTTTCCTGACACCAGCATCAAGCGGTTCAGTAGTTGCATGGGTCTTCTTTCCCCCCATTTTTCAAGATGGGGACAAGATGTGCCTGCCTTCAGACTGCAGGGGCCTCACCTGGGAGTTGGTTGTAGTTGGCAACATGTGTAGAACCACAGGTTCCCTATACCTGCCCTACCTGAACTCTGGACAGGTCACCTTTTAAAGCTGCTCTGAATTTCAGGGGCAGCTTACCCTCTGGGTAATGATTGAAATTTCTTTGTAGTGAAATAATTTTTGACCAACTGCAATAGCTTCTTGAATGAGGAAACATTTTGGACTAACAATCAGTGTTATATGCCAGTTTCCATAGAATATGTGACCATATAGTAAGTTCCATTCTATTTTTGAAATACGAAAAGTTTAAATTGCTAACATTTTAAAGCATACCTATGTTCATTTGTTACTTTTGAAAATATTTTGAATGATAGTTTACATCTCCTCAACCTTGTTAAGGGTGTAAAATTCATTTTACATTATATCTCTCTTTTTAAAATCTGGAGGATTTTGTATTGAAAGACGGAAGAATAGAGAGACTAAAGCTGGAACTTGAGAGGAAAGATGCAGAAATCCAGCAATTAAAGAGTGTAATCACACAATGGGAGGTATGTAATGGGTTTCTTTATGCAGCATTTAATTTAAACAAATGTTTAGATTGAAAATATTTATTGTATTAGCCTTTTCAAAACACTGCTTTTCAAAATAAAAATTACATTTAATCTATATTAGCAGGAGAAGGTGGCATCTAGATAAGGTTATTATTTCAGAAGTAAATAAAAGATTTTTACTTAGTAAAATAGGCTTATCATTTAAAGGCTTTCAGTGTACGCTGTCAGTCCTCCATCCCCAGCCTCAGAAAGTCCACGTGATGACATAGTAGTTGTAAATCAACCATTTTCTTACTGTTTTCTTTCATATATATTCTTTATTCTACCAGTTAATGCTGCTGTAAGGAGAGAACTTAGTAATTATAGGTGTTTCTACCACATGAGAGAGTTGGACATGTTGCATGAAAAGTCCACATTTATAAATAATTAACTACTTGTCAACAGTTTGTTAATGTTCAGAAGAACTTGGTTGGGGGGGGGGAGAATAACCACAGACTTGTTATGTGTTTACTAGAATCATAGAGTTGAAAGGGACCCCAAGGGTCATCTAGTCCAACCCCCTGCAATGCAGGAATATCAGCTAAAGCATCCATGACAGATGGCCATTCAACCTCTGCTTAAAAACCTCCAAGGAAGGAGAGTCCACCACCTCTCATGGGAGTCTGTTCCACTGTTGAACAGCTCTTACTGGTCAGAACGTTTTTCAGAATGTTTAGTCGGCATCTCCTTTCTTGTAACTTACTAGATATTTTTGTTGCATTTATGAATGTTGCCAAGGGTAATTATTTTTAGCACATTACCCACCTCATCTGTTTAATTGTCAGTAGGGATCAAGGAAGATTAATTGATCTTTGAAGGCAACAGTCAACCTTATATAAATGGGGCAATTTTGTGACTTTTAAGCTCAAAAATATATTTCTCTTTTTCTCTGCCATCCTCTCCTCTTGATTCTTGAAGCTCACCCACACATACACTTTTATCAGAAATGGAATTTGGGGGATCTTGAGTGTACTTGTGTTATTATATTTTCCTTTTGTCCCATTGATTAGAGATTGATTTTGAAATGTTAAGGCACCAATTCTAAATACACTGACTGGGCAGTAAGTTTCAATGAGCATAGACATGGATAAGATTGCACTGTACAACTAATATGCTAATGTCCATATTGTTTAAATATGCCGTTTGCATTAACTGAACTTTTAAAACATTTAGGCAAAGTATAAGGAAGTGAAAGCACGAAATGCACAGCTGTTGAAAATGCTGCAGGAAGGAGAGAGTAAGTACTGCTTTGTTTGTTAAATATTAAAATTCTTTTAAAAACCTATGTTCCTTAAATCTACCTGCAAATTGTTTGGACAGTGCTAAGACAAATAGGCTTGTTCAGTTTTTATTTCATAGCAGCCCGATGCAATCTGTGACCCTGCATGGCTGAATGCAGCCCATCAGCCATGTTTCATGGTGCTTGAAAAATGTGCCTCTCAACATCTTTAAAAATAGCAAGTCTAATCTTTTTTGTTTGGTTTTAAAACTTTAGTGAAAGATAAAGCCGAAATACTGCTTCAGGTCGATGAATCTCAGAGTATTAAGAATGAGCTGACTTTACAGGTAAACATTTGTGCAATATATTTTAAAAAGCATATTAAATCAAAATATCAGAACAACTGGGTTGGAAGAACTATTAGTGTTACGTTCATGGAACAGGACCTTCCCACTGCACCCAGCTTAGATGGATTAATTTCAGTGAGTAAAAATTAGTAAAATGCAATTCTAGCTTTTCTCTTTGCAACAGCAACTTTACTGAGAGCCAGTGTGGTGTAGTGGTTAAGAGCGGTAGTCTCGTAATCTGGGGAACTGGGTTCGCATCTCCACTCCTCCACATGCAGCTGCTGGGTGACCTTGGGCCAGTCACACTTCTTTGAAGTCTCTCAGCCCCATTCACCTCACAGAGTGTTTGTTGTGGGAGAGGAAGGGAAAGGAGAATGTTAGCCGCTTTGAGACTCCTTAAAGGGAGTGAAAGGCGGGATATCAAATCCAAACTCTTCTTCTTCTTCTTATATAGTTTCCAGTAATTCTCAAAATATTGTAAACTTGCTGCCAGAAATGGTACATGTTGCCACATTATTTCCAGGGAAAGTTATCAGGCAAGAATTTTGAAACTCAGCTAATAGGCAAAATAGCACATACTGATTTTCTTTTTCATTAGTGCTGTCATAGGCATGTAACTTTATTATCTTCAAAATGTCACTCTGTTAAGAGACAAGACAGTAGTTGTTGAGCTTTTATTTTGTTTTTTAAGGTTACCAGCCTTCATGCTGCTCTGGAACAAGAACGATCTAAAGTGAAGTTACTGCAAGCAGAGCTAACAAAGTATCAGGTAACGTTACTAGCTACTTCATAAATAAACAGAAACTCACAGGAGAAACTTTTATTATACCCATCCCACTACTGCAGCTGCCTGTACTCCTAAAAAGCCTCTCCAGGAAGGTTGGAGGTCTTGAACAGTGTCAGAGAGGCAATGGGAGCTGCTAGAGGAAGGGGGACAAGAAACTTTTCCTTCAGTGAACTAACTTAGGATCCAAGCCTGTTTGTTTATGTTTACATACCAAGTTTTTGTCCGTTTGCTCTAAAAAGGAGCTTTTAAAGCAGACTTTACAAATATTTCCTCTGGATCCACTGTATTCAGTGACTCTCCTTTTCTGTCTTGTCGCTTAGTGATCTGCACAATTCCCCCACCACCATAATTGTTTATTAACTGTTATCTCTAATTGAGTTTATACACACACACACAGAGAGAGAGAGAGAGAGAGAGAGATGATACCTATAGATACATATATACACACACAAAATTACCGTATTGGCCCAAATGTAAGACGCACCCACAGATAAGCCCCACCTTTAAAATTCAAGGCTTATTTGCAGGTGCGGCCTGCCTGCCGGCACTACTGCCCTGAATGGGGGGCGGCCGGCGCCCCACTCCCCAAGCCGGCGCTTGGTTTTGAGCGCACTGCTCACCTACCTCCCAACACAAACCGCCTCCCAGCACTACCTCCCCAAGCCGGTGCCGGGGGAGGCTTGGGAGCAGTGGGTGGGCTGCGTGTCGTTGCCCTGCGCTCCCAGGATGCTACCGGGGGGGGGGGAGGAGCTGTGCTGCTTTGCTGGTGGCCTCCACCCCTTCCCCCTTCCTTACAGAGGCTCGGAGGGAGGATTGGGAGATGCTGTTGGGATGGGCGGTGCTGTCCCGCACCCCCGATGGCCCCCATGGGCAGCTGTTTCAGCAGCGATACCGTAAGGTTGCAAATGTAAGCCACACTTTAACTTTTCACAATCAGAATTTGGGAAAAAAAAGTGTGGCTTATATTCAGGCCAATACAGTATCTATCCTGTGTGAGGGAGGCATCCAGACATGGGTCACTTCCACCCAGGACAGGCAGGGTCACATAATACAGCTATGAAGACCCGGGCAGGCAGTTCTTAATTCTCCTCTCACACACATTCCTTTGTTTGTGTATATGTTGTACTTCAGTGTGCAATAAACAGCAACTTGAGGATACTATTAAGTCTCCTCCCTAGTATTATGCTCAGGATCCACAAGCGTATTCACTTGTTTCAGCAACAATGAGCATCCATCTAAAGAAAGTGGTGCTTATGGGTGATGAATCACACCTTGAGAAGGGAAAGGACAAGTGATTTCTATTCCTCCTGGAAAAAAATAACCTGTGAAAAGAGAGAGAATCCACCCATTCTTTCAGGAGTGTTTCTCTCCCTTCCCAGAGGGCTCTTGTGGGAAGTGGCAGTATTGAAGAGGCACAGCTAGTGCTTTCTGCAAAAGCCCTGTTTTGGGGGAAATTTAGCTTTTTTTTGTTGATACTTAGGTTTTCATAACACAAGCTTTTTTCCTTCTCTGTTATAGGCTGGAAGAAAAGGGAAAAGAAATTCAGAGTCTGATCAGTGCAGGTGATCACATTTGTACCAAAATCCGAGCAAAAAAATAAATTTGATCTTCAGGGGTTTTGCAGAAATGTATTTGTACTACTGCTTAACTATGCAGTTTTCTGGGTTTGGGAGTGAAGTTTAATTGACTAATGTTCTGAATATTCAATCTATTGCACTTCTAGTATAAAGAAGAGAAGCTGGAAACTAATGTTACAGTGATGCTCAAACCTTGTTTGTCCTAATGCTACACCTAGTTTTTCATCACTCAATAAAGTTTTTGTCATTTTTATGACCCTGGTGTGTTTAATGTTTTTAGCCTTATTGAAATTGTTGGCCCATACTGTATTTCTATGCCATTTCCATCCTTTGTACCTTCTCCTTTTTCACACATCCACTCAATGATGGGTGCTTGACTTGTTTAACCTAGTACTGAAGAGGGCATAATAAAAAAGGGCAAAGCAGTGGTTCTGGACAAGGCCTGCTGAGGGTAACATCAGACCACAGGGTCTGCAACAAGAACTCCTGCCAACACTGTTTTGAAGGGTTCAGTAATTATGTAATGAACTTTAAATGATTAATGCTGTCACTTCACCTTTAGTCGTATATATAAACATCATTCCTAAGCTAGGGTTGTCATGTGCATTTATTTGCTTTGTGTTCCCTTTTTTGCTCTTCAAGGTATGGCAACCCCGCGTGGTACGCTTCTTTCCAAAAAGAAATAAAACCTTTTTCCCTTTCTCTAGTCCTGCCACATAGAAAATGTCCTAGATTTTTTTTTTTTTTGGTGCAAAAAGATTATCTTAAATAAAATTTTATAAATTTCATGGTTTAACAGGTTTAGAATTCTACAATTCTTCAACATGGCTTACAAACATGTTTAAGTAAATATATTTATACTCTCATTAAGGGCTTGCTTAGAGTAGAGCAACAAGGAATCCTCAGTGCCCAACACATGCTTTTTCTTCAGACACCTTTCACTTTAAAGTCCCAAGGCAGGTTACAACATTAAAAGACAACTTTAAAAACAAGTTACAACATAACATTGGATCTGTTCCAGTTCTTCCTACAAATTGGCTTGAATAGAACCTAAGAGGACAATTGGGTTCCCTTGCTAATTTTAGTGCAGCTCTCATTTAGTTTTTCTTTAAAACACACCAACCAAACATCAGTTTATCAGATTATGCGGCTCATAGAAGGTACCAACCCCCAGGTGTTTCTTCACACCACCTACATACTGGACAAGCAGTAGCTTTGAAGATACGATCAGTATGCGAAGGCTCAGCCTGTTCCTATGGACAGAAGTTGCAACACCTCCTCTTATTAAACACACTGCTGAACTTGTCAGCGATGGACATCTACAGCATGAATAACACTTTTAAAAAGTGAAGCTGGAGGACAATGACAGATAACAAGCTGTCGCTGCTGTAAGATGCAAGCAAATACCCTTTTCTTGAAGGTTAACTGAATAGGAACAGGCTTGCTGAACAGGAAAAGAAATAAGGCAGGGGTGGGAAGCGCCAGCCCAGGGGAGTGCGCTCAGGGCTCTCTATCCAGCCTGCAGGACTCTTGCCTTGCCAGGCCCACCCCAGTGCTTAATCTGTGGCCCCAGACAGCTGCTGTCTGGCTGGAGCGCCCTTTGAACCATGACAACGCCTCTTGCTTGTCCTCAGTGGAGCACAGAGGGACGTGGTTCTGCATAAACCCGCCTTGCGTCGCTCCCTCCGGTTGGGAGAGCATCCAGCACCAGTTCCTCCCTATAAAAGGTGGGAGGCCGGTATGTGCTGAGGCTGCAAAAAGGCAAATGGCTGTACGAGGCTCCACGTGCAGCGCAAAAAGCAGCGCCACCGTCACGTGAGCAGCAGCAGAGAGACCGTGTCCGCGCATGCGCGAGACCTCCTTACGGTGTCGTAGCAAGCGCTCGCCTAACAATGCCAGCCTGGGCCTTCCGTGACAGCTGCGCTTGCGCAGTCGGCTTCCGATGTGCGCAGGCGCACCGTGCTCCTCTTCTCTCCTCTCCCCTCCCCCCCCACCATTTCTTTTTTTACACATGCGCAACACGCTCCCGAGTCCCAGCTCCTCAGTTGCCGGCCAAGTCGGTTCCTCTTTTCTAGTAACTTCCCCGATTCCTGACGTCATCAGCAGGCGCCGCGGCTGAGCCGGGCTGTTTCCGTTGAACTCTCCGAGAGTGCGAGAGCTGTGGCGGCGGCGTCGCGGAGCGAGGAGGCCGCGAAGCGTGAGGCGAGGCGAGGGGAGGGTCTGCCTTTCCCAGCGTCCCCCGCGCGGCTGGGCTAACGAGTCCCGGAGGCCCCTCGGCCGCCCGTCCTCCCCCTCCCCCCCCTCCGCGCCCGCGCGCCATGTCTGAGAGCGGCGAGAGCCCTCCTGGGCCGCAGAGCCCCGACGAGACCCCCGGCCCGGCCGCCTCGGCCTCCGAGCCGCGGATCATCAAAGTCACCGTCAAAACCCCCAAGGAGAAGGAGGAGTTCGCCGTCCCGGAGACCAGCAGCATCCGGCAGGTGAGGCCGGGGACGGGGGGAGGGGCGTGGCCGGTACCACCGCGCGAGTGGGCGGGGGGGGAAATGTGTGTGTGTGTGTGAGGGGGGAACCGGCGTCTCCTTTATTTCCACGCCCGCCCCGGGAGAGGCGAAGACGGAACCCGGCCGGCGCCCCTGCGTCGCCGTCGTCCGTTGGCGGGCGGAGCTCTTGCCTCACACCGAAGGCCTCGGAGTGACTCGGCTGCCAAGGGAGCGCGTCTCTCTCGTCGCTCTTCCAGGTGCGTTTCCCCGGCGAGAGAGGCGGGGAGATGGCTGGCAGCCCGGTTCTGGACGACGTGTCCGTTTGCGAGCGAGGCCCGTGCGGTTCGGAGAGGCGGACTCCCAAGCAGGCGCGCGTAGGATTGAACCGGTCGAGGAAGTCTTGGTGGTGGCAGGCGGAGAGGGGAAGCCCCGGAGATGCGGTGGCTTTGTCTGGGAGGGGAACACAAAGGAGCCAGGCAGATCGGCGAGGCGGGAAGGCGGGCAAGCGACCAGCCGGTTTTAAAGTGTGAAACGGGAAGCTCGGGGGAAAATGTGGACTCTACAAACATAGAAGATTCCCTAGCACTTTGGTGTAACACTGCTATATAGAACACAAAAGCACAAGCTGCGCCTAGGAGGTTAAATGTGGTAGAGGATCTTGTGTCTCTGTATGGCTTCTATGCTGTTCCTTACATGGCGGTACTTTCTGACAGATTTTAAGTGCTCCTCTGTATCTTTTCATTACTTGATACTTAAACTAGCACTACAACATGTTTTTCTGATTGTATACAGTATTCTATGTGTATGTATTACTGAAAAATCAGTGTGTCATTATACTTGAAGATGGTAGCTGCCGAGTCATCTGCATGACTACTTCAGTGCTTTGAATTCGTTTCTTCTCAGCCTTTAATGTCTTGGACGAGTCATATTAACTAGGCCTGGTCATTTGGTAACAAAAGGCTACTGTAAAATTTTAAGATTCTAAACATAGTAGCTCAAACACAAACTAGAAGATAGACTAGAAGATATATGCTAGCAATATCTACATTGTGTGGATGAGTAGTCAATCCTTTGATCATGCAAATGATGAGACTCTTAATCACATTGTCATTTGAATGTCCTAAAGACACTGTGTAGTATGTATCTGAAATCTTAATTTTTTACAGGTGTGAGAAGACTTTCTCAAACTGACACTTGGTAGTAGAGTGGCTACCTTTGTCTAGGGTTCTGCCACCTTGATTACTGTCTAACTCATAGAGCAAGAATATGCAATTGGGATGACACTAATTTACTACTACCCAAACAATAACAACAGTTACACCAGTCAGTTCTGGTCATTTCATTCAGTTGATTAAAACACTGCAGTTTTGTTGCTTCTAGGAATAGGCCATTTAATATTTAAAAACAATGCAGGTACCTCTGTTCTCTCTGGAGTTGGAATTTCTAAATTGTAAGTAACTGCAGTATAGGGTCATTTTATGTACTCACTTGGTAGTAAATAAAGTATTGCAAGTCTTTAAAAAGAGCTTGTGGACTTCAGTTTTCTTCCATTGCTATTAACACTGGACTCCTTGTAATAGGTATAAAGTGGTAAACTTTGTTTGACTCCTTGATGTAGAAGGAATTTATGAACTCTGTCCACAAATGACTTGCATTTATAAATTACTTAAGTTTCCCTCCTTAAAATATGCAGGATGTATATCTTGGTTATGGCTATTTTAATTAAGCTAAAACTAGTTCTACCTGAAAAACTAAGGCTTGTTATCACAAGTACTTTGTCCAGTTTAATAAACTCTTTACTATTACTTTATTTCTTGCAAGCACTTGCAAGACTTGAATTAATGATACTGGAAGCCAATTTGTATTCAACTTTTCCTCTGAATTCTGGCATATAACCCAGTTTTTGTGTATTCTTGGGAATCACTTCCTTCAATCTCCCCATTGTAAGTAAGAACATATGAAGGTGCCTTGTAAAAAGTCAGATAATTTGTCCATCTATTTCAATATTGTCAACGCTGCCTAGCAGTGGCTCTCTAGGATCTCAAACGGGACTTTTGGAGCCCTACCTTGGCATGCAAGGGATTGAACCTGGAACCTTCTGCATGCAAAGCAGATGCTCTGTTACTGAGCCAGAATTTTATTGCTGAGCCAGAATCCTTCCAGCCACAATGCACAACTGCAGTTTATGGGATATGCACAGATGAGCAGGGGGAGAACGTGGGGCATCAGCAGGAAAAATAACATAAATATGAAATCTAGATCAGAGTAGTTATGAAAAACCGTGAGAAAGTTCAGCTTTGGGACACATCTTTGAATAAAATCTTGAGAAATACTTGAAAGCCGTAATCCTGTTATTCCAGGTTTTCAGTTGCTGTACACCTTGGGGTGCTGTTCCGGTCTCAGCTATCTTTTAAATTATGGTGGCTACTGCACTAGCGCAGGAGTGGAGCCTAAGTACTTGGATTTAAACAATTTCTGTAATCAGGTTCATGTATAATTGGAGATACATTGATTCATTTTGCCTATAATTTCAGCGCCCTTTAATATTACCATGACTAGCTCGAGAAAGGTTATGTTGATTTATCTAAAAACAGTTCTTAAAAATGTGTCTTACTCAGTTCATGCAGAAAGGGTGACGTCACCAATCAATAGATTAGATAGTTACCGGTACTTTGATGAAATTTGCTAGTGTATTTTGTAGATGAGCTTGTGTTATGCCTATGAACCAAAACCACCAATATTCAGGGTGCCTGGTTAGCCTGTACAAGGAACAACCATT